CCCCCCCCCCCCCCCCCCTCCCCTTCCCGGCAGCTTCCCCCCTGTCTCTTGCAACCCAATGTATTATTAATAATTGATAGAAGAATTGCATCGAACATGGCGGGCAGACAGGGCAGTACATTTAACGGGCGGCGGGGGCCTTGGCAAAGTGTCGTACACGAGGTGTTTTTTCTTCTTCTTTCCTCTTCTTCTTGACCTTGGCCAGTTATACCGCTGCTGATCAGGTTTAATTGTTGTAGGAATTCTCTCAAGAGGGTGAGACAAAGCTGCAGTTCCGGGGTCTCGAACTGCGTACTGCAGGTCAAAGCAGTGAAGCAATGTACTCGTACTGCAGTATGAGAAGCGATATTATTACTAGATACCATGTGGCGAAGGGAACACGCAGGACGGCTGACATGGAAGACGAAGAAGAAGATTGTTTACGAGTGATCTATAGAGGCTTCAACCGAGGTCCAACCAACACGTGGAGAACGGGCCGACGCCACAGAGAAACCGAAGTTCCGTCTGTGCCTGGATGTCCTGGACGGGGTCCCTGTGATAGTACGGAGTATTCTGTAATCTGTACAGGTACCTACCTGTATTACGAGGAAACGGAAACAAGAGGAAAGAGAAAAGGCTCAAAGAGAGGAAGCATAGAAGACTGGTATTCCAGGTAGTGATAATAATACTACAGTACCCGTACGTACTGGATTTATTATGCGAATTCGCCGCAGGAGCCGCAGATAAAAATTATTGTAGTAGGGAAAGAGTCAAAAAAGTAATAATGAGAAAAAGCTAGAACGACAGAGCCGTAGAGAGGCCGACGCTATGACCTTACTGGGGGGGGGGGGGGGGGGGGGGGGGGGGGGGGGGGGGGGGGGGGGGGGGGGGGGGGGGACACCCTGAGATGTCTATTCGTAGGAGGCCTGGGATCCATCGATGCCTTTTACCTGTCTGTATATTGTGTACCGTGCTCCATGCTAGTACATATATGATATAGTAACATATTGAGTCAAACCGAGCCTCATGTTTTTCCTATTTCAAACATTTTTATTCAACTCACCTACACTCATGTCCGTCACATCTTTATACGTCTGCCTAGAACTAGGGTCTAAACATTTAGCTCTATCCAAAGAGCCGCATTCTTTTTTTAATACATTGCACGCCGTACGTCAGCTAAGCAATACATGGCCGCGCAAGTCACGGAAAAAGGTTTTTTTTCTTTGTGTGGGTACAATCTTGAGATGCTGTGTATTCTTACAATTTTTATCATGTTTAACAATGATAGAAGACGCACGTGCGGTGAGGCTCTGGTCATTAATGTTCACAGGACCTACAGGTACGTATACCCACAGATGCATGCTAATCCATCCCATTACAGGACACTAGAAGCTTGGCCGAAGCCATCCCGACTCTCTCCTGTTATATCTTCCATTCATTACTTGGCGATATGGCCACGACACATTTATTCCTTCTATACGATTGTACAACGAATAGAATGCTCATAGTAGATGCAACAGTGTAATGCTCGCAATTCAGATGCGTCCGTGTACGTCGTATTGCACATGCGAAAAAGGCAAAAAGAAAAACGAAACAAACAAAAAACTTGGAAAAAATAATGGCATGACAGACGTTTCGACCTTGGAGGATAAATGTCGTAAGCACATGTCATGTAATGGCATAATACTGAACTCGTGCCAGGCGGGAACTCGTATGGCCCGCGCGATAAGACTACGTTACGAGTATCCGTGACTCTGTCAGGTTGACTGGGTACCACGGCATCTCGAGTCTTGTCGGCTCAGCCAAGCCTTTGGAAAGCCGACGCAGAGCCTAGCCCTCCCGACGTCGCAGCCTAGAGAAGGAAGGAAGGAAGGAAGGAAGGAACCGGAGCAAGCGATCCGGATATGGAGGCCGGGAGGCCCTGGACGAACAGCACACACACACACACACAACACCAGAGAAAAATCACCCCACCAGCCTTGGTGGCATGAGAAAGATGCAGGCCCAGAGATGCAGGGTCCAGGGGAGAGAGGGTGGCAAAGATGACGAAAGACAGGGGGGGGGGGGGGGGGGGGGTAAAAAGAAGAAAGAGGAGAGTCAATATGGGGGGTTTCTACACAATTATGCTCTTGATACTATTTTACTCGTAGTCTACCTACAGAAAGTCTACTATCGAAGTTGCCCGTGAGCCATCACAGCCTACATGTTATACGCGGGCACACGGGCTTGAGAGATCAACAAGGGGTTCTCCCTCTCCGCCTATCCGCACATGTACGGACGTCAGAAGTGCAGGGAAGCACAGTACAGTACATGCGAGCACTGCCAATGGGTAGAATCACGTTCACGAGTACGAGTAAACAGCCATGTATAAAAGTGTGACAGGTGGCAGTTAGAAGCCGTTGACGATGACCCTGTTCCACCCGGGAGGGTGAGAGCCGCGTGCCCCGTCTGGGCATGACCATGTCGGTCCATGGACCCGATGACGGTAGGAAGCAGCCAGCATCGTCTGGTGGACGGAGGACGCCTCACTGCGCAGAGGGATGGGGCTCGGAAGAGACATATCTAGTACTACTTATTACAGTACTTCTCAGCATCGGAATAGAGAAAAAAAATCATAAGAGGAAAGAAGAGGAAGGGAGAAAAGATGGTGGGGCAGAAGAGGGTGGCGTGCACGAGTGATGGTGGTCCCACGACTCAGCCTTGGCCCTTGGTCAAATTCGGAGAGAGGGAAGTGGGGATGATTTTGTGCTCTGCAACTCCAAAATGATACATTGCATATGATTTCGTTTCTTTTTTCTTTCTTTTTTTCTTTCTCTTACTTTTTTGTCTTTTTTTATCTTTTCCTTTTTTTTACTAATACATGTGTACTGCTGCTGGTACATGTACAAGATGAACATCCATGTCAAGCTTATTGTTGGAGGATAAATCCAGACCCGAGGATACTGCAGTCGTAGTCCTGCTGAAGTGCGACCCTGTGATTCGATGTCCAGCTGGCCATTGTCACGAACCCCGTTGCAGCTAATATTGCCACGGGCTTCAACTCGTTCAACTCGTATGGTAAGAAATACCAGCTATACCAGCCCCTCGTGAATGCGTGGTATCGTCGTTACCGCCACCTACCGGCAGGTAGAGCTATTACCGTAGTTACTTACTGCCGTAGTTACTACTGCCGTAGTTACTGGCGCGAATAAGAAAAGAAGTGATTGATCGCGTATTAGGTTGTTACTAATACTACGCCTCGGCCGGTCCCAGTCATGAGATGTCTCTGCCCCATCCCGATCCGGCCAGAGTTAACTCTGACGCTTGCCGATATGGGGTATCAGGTTCCGACCAGGTCTACTACCCATTCCAGGCTGTACCACTTGCTTTCATCCGGCTCTGTTTCAGCGAGGCTCGAGAGTGACGAGTACGAGACGAGATGGGGCGAAATCCAGCCACGGTCACTGATTGATACAGATGATGCCGCTGCTCCCTCTCCGAACATGCTTGGCTATGCTGTGCTGTGTTCCGCGGGCTGCTAGCCGTGCTGATAATGCCGACAATACATAATATAGGAATCTGCAATGATAAGAAACAAGCCGCCCCCACTACGACGCCCGCCTTGGAATCTTTTTTCACTATTTGTACAGTACGGGTGAGTACGGAGGATACACATTTGGGTATTCCGCAGTGGTAAATCGGTATGTACTCTACAGCAGCACTGCTGGGTAGAGGTAGTGGTTACTATAACAGTGGTCAGGACCTAGTCTCTGTCCCGCCACAGTTGCATCCGGACAGGCTGTACCATACTGAACCCCCCCAAGGTTGAGGTAATGATCAACGGCCGTGATGCCTGTACGGATTACAGGTGGGTGGGTGGTATTGGTATCAATTTACCTCTACCGTGCAACCTGTAGACGAAAACGAGGAGAGAAGAAGCCTCGTCTCTCTTCCATCTTATTACCGTAGTATTATCTCTGTGCAGTCTGTGGCACTCGTATCATTCGTAACAGACCCCCCCTCCCCCCGAGTTGCAACACAAAGTACTATATACATCTCTCTCGCATCGCTCCTGGCCCATCGCGTCCCGTCCTGCCGATCTGCGTCACCGACGCATTGCGCCCCACCAAATGCGCCATCCCGTGGAGTCTTCCTCATGGTGTGCCAGTGTGGTCTGCTATGTCGCTATTGTCCCTCCCCGTCATCCCGTCACTCTCTGTCACTCTTACCGTGTGAGTGTGCGTGTACGGAGTAATGTACTTTTTATGAATGTGTCTGTATGTGCGCCCCCACGAACGTTCCTTGTCGTTTCTTCTTTCTCCCTCCTGTCTCCCCGTTCCCCTTCGGCCTTCAGGGTCTGATGCTCTGCTTGACTGTTTACAAGTATCAGTCCCATACTGCTCGTACGTATTGACGGATACTCCGTACAGAGTGAGAATAGCGCCATGGTACCATAGTACGAGTTACTCGCACATCCCTCCCCCTCGGCCCTTTACCATCTCTTGGCCGTTTCGCCCCATGCCTGATTAAATTCATCTGACGACACTCTTGCCGTTCTTCTTTTTTCCTTTCTCCGTATTCTATCTACTCTTGACCATTTTCTCCCATCTTCCCCATCTTCTTTCCCTTTGATAACCGTCCTACTCTACCATCTCGGGACCTCCACTCTCTCGTACACAATCGTATGAGCCCAGAAATCACCATCTAGCAGCAATTCTGTCTGCCCCTCTTCCCGCGCGCCCGCTCGCCCACATCCTCCCTTCCCCTCCGCGGGACGAGCTCAGTTCCCGCGATGCCGTCCTTCAAACCTTTTCACTCCGTCACAGGCCGCAATGCCGCAAGCCTGTTTGACATCCGGTGAGTTTTTCTTCTTCTTTTTTTCTTTTCTTGCCCCTCCAATTATTTGAACGCCAGAAAGATATCGTGCGCTTTTTACTCGCCGGCAACTCTATCCTCTCTTTTTGTGTGCTCATTTGCTGACTTCCGAATGCGCCCAAAAAAAAATAGCCTAGAAAATGACTTCATCGTCTTTCGCGGCGGCGAGCACGAGTCTGCCGGTCAGCTCATCAAGGGCGTCATCGTTCTTTGCCTCCCATCCCCTCTCAAGATTGAGGATATTCATCTCCGCCTCACTGGCACTCTTCGTATAAAGTACGTGCCTCAGTTATCTTTTGCGCCACCACACGATAAACTGGTAACGGGGTGGGGGAAATAACGTGGCTGTACCCCCCACAAAGGGAACTGAAAAGGGAAAGAATGAGAAGAAGGAGTAGAAGAGAATAAGTCGATTGCTGACTGCTAAAACTCAGAACACCGGGATCTTCAAGCCAAAAAGTTGACAGGCTCGTCACCATCCTCGAGCACCGATGGGAGCCCTTTGTCGGCACGCCGGGAAAGAGCTTGACGCTCCCCGCAGGCAACTACGAGTACCCCTTTGAGTACACGATGCCTGGGGACGCGGCCGAGAGCGTCGAGGGCATCTCCGAGGCTTCCATCTCGTACCGGCTCAAGGCCACGGTGGGCCGCGGCAAGTTCGCCTACGACCTCCACTCGTACAAGCACCTGCGCGTCATCCGCACGCTAGAGGCCGGCGCCCTCGAGTTCCATCATGCCATGAGTGTCGAGAACATCTGGCCCAACAAGATCGACTACTCCATCGTCGTCCCGCAAAAAGCCGTCGCCTTCGGCGGCCGCGTCAACCTAGAGATGCGCCTCACCCCGCTCCTCAAGGGGCTCGAGCTCGGCAAGATCACCGTCTGCCTCATGGAGATCCGCGAGACCTGCATCCAGAGCTTCACCGGCTACAGCATGCGCGAGCACAAGGTCGAGCGCGAGGTCGAGAGGTGGGACGTCGATCCGGACCGCGACAACACCTGGCAGGACACAATCGAGGACACCGGTCAAGAGGGCTGGGTCATCGCCAGGCCGCTCAACCTGCCCAGGAGGCTGCGCCAGTGCATCCAAGACGTCAACATTCACGGCATCAAAGTCCGCCATAAACTCAAGTTGACCATTGGTCTAAAGAATCCTGATGGTCACATTTCCGAGGTACGGTCTTTTCCCTCTCCCCTCCCTTTACTTAAAAAAAACCCCCATCTTCTTTCCCTCCTTTCCAGAGCTAATACTTACTCTACCTGCCGAAAAAAAACACAGCTCCGCGCCACCCTACCCGTTTCCATCTTCATTTCTCCCAACGTGCCTCTGGACGAGCAAGGCAGTGTCATCAACCCTCAGTCAGCCCGGACGGCCGATGACCCGAACCGCGTGGCCCCTCCCAGCTACAGCGACCACCAGCTCGACCAGCTGTATGACGACGACATGACGGGGTTCCAGACGCCTGCGGGCGGCGTGTCGGGCGTCAGCAGCCCCATCTATCTGCACTCGCGGGCGGGCTCGTCGGAGAACCTGGCGGGTCTTCACGGCGGGCACCGCGGGCCCGTGGCCCCGGCGGACCTGTCATCGAGGTTGGCCAACGTTTCGGACGACCCGACGGAGCGCAACACGGCCTTCAACCAGACCATCGGGTCGTCGGTTCTCCCCGCCATTTCGGAGCCGAGCTCCAGTAACCTGACACGCCACAACAGCGGCAACGACACGACCAGCTCGGGCCAGGAATCGCCCCAGGAGCACGTCGACGAGCTGGAGCTAGCCCCCACCACCCGCGTCCCCAGCTACTCGACCGCCGTGCGCACCCGCGCCCCAGGGGATGTCAGCCACCTTCCCGACTACCGCACCGCCATGAGCACGCCCAGCACCCCGCCGGCTACCGACCTCGGCCTCGTCGAGAACGGAGACGTCTTTGTCGCATCGGTCCACGTGTCCGAGGATGGGAGCAGCGTCACCACCAGCGGGTCCACTACCCCCGGTAACCTGTCCAGGAGACCTACCCTTTCCAGTCGTCCCAGTGCACTGCGCACCAGCCGTCCTGCCGATGAGGAGGGCCCGCCCCGTCGGGTTCATATACAAGACCAGGCTGTATGATTTTCCTTCCATGCTCTCCCCCCCCCTCTCCTTCTATACTCACCCTTTCCATTGGTCAAGCTGGCGAGTTGATAAACATGATTTTTATTTTCTCTCTTCAACATGAAAACAATCCTGATTCTTTATTACGTAAAGCGGGAAACATGAGCATTTCTTGGCGTTGGTTTATGGAATATTTTCTTTGGACTTTTTTTTTTTTTGGGGGGGGGGGAGGGGGAGGCTTGGGATATGACTGTTTTTGGAACATGGGAACGATATTTCTCCTGTCATGTATTTACCCCGCTTTCCACGATAGACCGGATTTTTTTTTGTTATTTCTTTTGATTATAGACGGTTGGGATATGGTGTTTGATATATACATATTTACGAATAGCACTGATCTGAAAGGTGATCGACAGGTACAAGTAGTGTATACATGTGGACGCTTTAGATACGAAGAAGACTGATTATACACATATTATTAATAGCTGGGTACGAGTACTGATTTCGTATATCACACATTGTACACAGTTGAATCTGAACATTAACATTGTACACATACATATAATCAGTTAGGTCTGAGATACATGGGGTGACGCCAACGCCGTGAAAGTGCGCCTTACGTCAATGACGTTTCTGGATGAATGCGTCAATCCAAGTCTGAATTGCACCCCATCGTCCCGATATTCATCATCATGACAGAGGCACTGCTAGTATAGTGACCATCTATCTTACAACTCTCAGTAGCACTACTGTAATGGTCGACGTCATCTTCTTGTCTACTTGTAGTAGAATGGCCGCCCCCTAGGGCTCAGGTACAAGTCCGACATTAGTTTGCGAAATCTCCAAGGCATGGTGCCAGAGTGGTTAATGGGTGAGACTCGAACATTTTCTATCCTTTGCGATTAGAAGATCAAGAACATAATCTCATGTCTTCGGACGCGGCGGTTCAAATCCGTCCCATGTCGTGTTTTTTTCTTGTACATTTTTTTTGGAAGTATGTTTCATTGCTCTCTCTTTGTTTTCCTTTGTTTCGCATTGTCGGGACTGTTATATTACTCGTACTCTTTTTTCCCATTATAAACAAGTACCATGAAACTTGGCATGAGAATTGGGTTATTAGTAGCATACATACATACATACCTACCTGTATGTGCATGACGCAGAGTGATAATTGCCAGCAGCATTATTTATTACCCGGGTATCCCCAGCTCCGAAGCGGGGATCTGCATTTTGTCCAATCTTGCCTTCTGAGTGACGAGGGTTACCTGTGAATAGCTGTCATAGCCTGTATTTTTTTCTCTCTTCTAAACACATGACTACTATCATCTACCAGCAGCTATGTGTATTGATAGCAGCCAAATGATGATGTTAGCTGTACGACTTCGATCAAGGCCTCGTCATTACCTGGAAAGACTGGGAATACGGAAGAATCGGGCGGGGCAAGGAAGGGCAAGGAAGGGACCTCTTAGGCTGTTAGTAATAATAAATCTCTCTCCACTTTCCCAAGAAACTCGTGGTCGCCCCCCCCCCCCCCCCCCCCCCCCCCCCTCTTCCCTCATTGAGCTGGCCGATTATTTTAACGTGCGAGTAGCATCAGAGGGGTCATTCCAAACTTTCCTTGTTTGTCCCTCTCCCCAGTCCTTTTTCTCCTTCTTCGCATTCCCCTCACTATTCCGATAACTATTTTTTTCTTTTTCAGATACGACGTATTCCTCCTCCGATTTCCTTTATCTGCGGTCAACAACGCACACTGACGTAAGTGGCCACCTTATTACACACAACTGAGAACGCATCATGTTGGGAGAGGGAGAGGGGGAAGGGGGGGTAGAACAAAGGGAATAGTAAGGAAGAACAATCTGTCCAAGGTTGCTTGCGTGGCCAAAGTAAAGGAGATCATGGCCTGATCTAACATGATCCGGGATTATTCCCTCTCAACTCTGGTCGCCAAGACCCTGCGCCACGCCGTCAGCTCCAATTTCATTTCCCGTTTCCCCGTGCTGTGTGCACGCCATATTCCGGCGTCCCGTCGCATGTCGGCCCGGGTGGCGATGGAAGCTCCTTTTTCTTTCTTCCTACTTCTTCTGCTCCTTACAAGTCTCTTTCGTCACCCAACTCACTCACTCCTCCCCGTTTCCCCCCTCCCGCTGCGTTTCTTGTGCTACAAGACAGAATCAACTTCTGACTGTGAACTGACGATTTTTTTGATTTTTTTTCTTCAACTCGAGCAGCTTCTCTCTAGCCCCTCTTCTCCTCTTCTCCTCCTACCTCCCCCCCACTTCTAGCTAGCTTGTCTTGCGATCGACATGTCTGGCCCTACGTCACCCACTCTGGACCTCCCCTCGAGGGCGGCCACAAATATGAGCATCATTAGCGACGATGCTATCCCCGAGATTGACCCCTCCAACGTAGGCCCCCCTCCCACTTGCGTTGCAAGTTGCTGTCTGTCGCAGAGATGGGCCCGCTGACAAGCTGTTCGATAGACGGCTGGCCTACTCGCTGAACGCCTTCAGGCATGGAAGCATGCTTGCGGATATCTCGAGGATTATTTCGAGGCGATAGAGAAGATCCATGGAAAGCACGCAAAGGAGTACGAGCGTGCTCTCAAGGTACGTACACACCTGTTCCCTCCCCCTGGCCCCCATCCCTTGAGGCCGTCATTGCACATAGGCGCAATAGATACTCATGCGGGGCGGCCCAATCTACCAGGTCATCTCCAACCCTCTGAAGGAAGGCCACCACTTCGACCAGAGCGTCAGCGGTGTGGCCGGCTTCTTCGAAAACCTCCGAACCAACACGCAATCCCTCATAAACACGAACCTCGAAACGGAGAAGAGCATCAAGGGCTCCGTCCGCCCCATCCTCGAGCGTCTACACAAGGAGATCAAGCACAAGGCCAAGGAGCTGTCGAGCGGCGCGCAGAAAGGAGCTAAGGAGGTGGAGAAGTCGCGCAACACGACGCAGAAGCACATTGAGCTGCTGGGCCAGCAGGCGGCGGCCTTTGACTCGGCGGGCGGCAAGATCAACGGGCATGATGACCCTTACGTGGTGCGCCGCGGGGTGCTTCATCGGCTGAGCGTGCAGGTCATAGCGGAGAACAACCACCACAACGACCTGCTTGCGGTGCAGAGCAACTTTGCCACGTTCGAGGCGCACGTCGTCGAGGTCTTCCAGCAGGCCATGGAGGCCTTTACGCAGATGGCGGGTGGCCAGGCCGACAAGACGCGCGCTCTGCACAACGACATGCTGGCCACGATCCAACGCGTGCCGCCCGAGTACGAGTGGGCCAACTTTACGGTCCGCAGCGCCGAGCTCCTGGCCCAGCCCAACGAGCCACCGCGGTCCGTCGACAACATCACGTTCCCTAACATGGACCACGCGTCGGCCAAGCCGCTGATTGAGGGGTCCCTGGAGCGCAAGTCGCGCAACAAGCTGTCGTGGGGCTTCTCGACGGGCTACTACGTCGTCACCCCCTCCAAGTTCCTCCACGAGTTCAAGGACTCGGACAATACTCGCGAGGACCCCAAGCCGGAGCTGTCCATCTACCTGGGCGACGCCACGGTGGGGACTCCCTCGGGCGACAAGTTCACCGTCAAGGGCAAGGACCGCAGCAAGACGATGAGCGGCAGGCTCACGGGCAACGCCGAGCTCAACTTCAAGGCCCACACTCCTTCCGACGCGCAGAAGTGGTACTCGGTCATTTCGGGGCTGGCGAGCACGGCTGGAGCCATCGACACGTCGGCCACCGCGGGATCCGCCACGCCCTCGCCAACCACCCCTTCGGCCAAGGCCGCCGGCGCCATCACCGGCTCCTCCAGCAGCAGCAAGATCGAGCTCAACCAGGCCAGCGACGTGGCCTCACCGACGAGCGGCCACGAGTCCGGCGTCACAGAGCCGCCATCCACCACCACTGCAGAGAAGAAGGCCGAGGCTGGTGCCTAGGAGGTGCGGCAGAGCTCTGGATTCTCAACGAATTATGCTACTCTGCTGGCCTTGGAAGAGGAAGGGTCTGGCCAGCCTGGCTGGGGGCGGGATTGACTCATCATCATGGCTCTGGCCCTGGCCTCGAAGATAAAAGGTCTCCTGTCTCTTTACAGAAGTCGCGTCGCGTCTTGGTATGAGGCTGGCTACTTTCATTGAAAGGTGACGTGGGAGCCAATCTTGGTGTCTTTCCGTCACATTATTTTACTTTTACGATTCACAGGAAGGTTAAGCAGGCTGTGCTGTCTGTTGGTGGCAAGTCTTTTTTTTTCTCTGTTATTATCATTATTATTATTGCTGTTACCTTTGTTTATACTCGATATACTCTTAATAGTCGTTATTATGGCATCCCTCTTTCTGATCCACTACTCCTTCTTTGAGCCCAAATTGCATGATCCTACGTCCCGAGTTGAATTCACGACCACTCTCTCCCTTCTCTCCTTTCCATCTGCGCTTTTCTTTGGTGTTGCAAGCCCCATCTCTGGCGTCTACCTTGATGGGCGGCTACAATGGGCCTGTGCGCCGTAATAGCTGCCACCTTGCCTATCTATATCAACTGTCATAGGCGAGCTTCGGGATGCTGGTGATCGGGGACAGGTTGGACGAATCGATCTATCACTACGGGCAGGCACTACAAGGGAGATCAGGCTCTGAATACAAGACGTAATCCACGAAGCTCCATTCCACGTGCAGGAGCGGAAGCTACCTACGGGATGTATCTGGATACTCACTCCTATGGGACCCCTCCCTGGAGAAGTTCTTGTGGCATGGTACGTATCACGTGAGCGATGGAGGTATACGAGCAAGTAGGCTTCTTTTGCCTAGGCCTACTTATATTGCGATGTATTGTATTACTACCAGCACCACTATACAGCAAAAATAAAAAAACTCGGTGGTCCTTGTGACGATATTGTCCGCACGTCGCGTGCAGACGGATACTGTATACTGTATCAGTATCACACTCCTCCCTCCAATAGAAGAATAGCTGTGGGTCAGGGGTTTGGGGTTTCCCAAGTATCTGTACCCAACCTCGGACTCCTGAGCAATACACACGAAGTTGACGCCTCCATAACCGAATTACGTGACAGTAACAGTACCGGAACTCGTACTTTACTGGCCACCATAGCGAGCAGATCACCATCGTGAGCAGATTTTTGGAAGCCTATCAATCTATCCACGCAGCAAATACTGCATGGAACAGCCCGTTTTATAGGTTTCAAGAGGTTCCAGCCTTCTACTAGCATTTCTAAAATGCTCTAGCCTTTTTTATAGCTTTAAAAGCGACTTTATATATATATATATATATATATATATATATCTAGAGATGGCCTCTTTTTCTCTTCTGATTTTACTTGACTTCTTTACCTCTCCTGACTGTCATGCTTTCTCGCCGTTATGGTGGTCGGGAAAGCAGAGCTGTCTCGTGTGGTGTCTCGACAGGGACGGTGTCGAATCTGACGATGGGAGCGTCAGGATCGACACAAGAGCAAGACCGTGTAAGAGGAACGGCGAGGTTGTAAGTAGTGATAAGGTGTCAGGATGTAGTCGAACAACACAATACGTCTCTATGAGAACAGACACCACAAAACACTTCTGACTCACATTCAACTAGTGGGTCAGGTGTTTTGGGGTGTCAACGGTCCATGCCCTTCACTCTTCTTGTGGTGCGGGACTCGACCATGGACTCGAGTCCCGCTTACCTCAGCTATGGGATGTTACTATGACAGTCACGAGAACCAGCTTTAGGAGCTCGTAGTCTAGAGTCCCTTCCTCTACGGTGGGGGGACGCACGAGTAGTAGCCACGCCAGAGATGGGTCGACTATCTGATGCAGTCATCGGAGGGGAGCCACTAATAAACCATTCCGGACGTCCGTACACGTGCGATGGGATCCATGTATCCGTGGAGAAGTGGCACCAGCAAGTATCAACAAAGTGTGCCCCGGTCCAACACGTAACACCGAACAAGGCTCCTTTATCAGCCCTACAGCAGAAGTACCAGTACTAAAAGGCTGCCCCCGATTCCGAAATCGATGCATGAAGGACTGACTACGTACAGGTATTCAAATTACATGTGATAGCAGCGAAGCGTACGTGGTGACCGCAGATACATCACGTCTCTTTCGTACCCTCGTCAGCTAGCCGCGTTATGCGTATTTGTTGGAAGGAAAAAACGAGCTTATATCAGCAGTGCTATCACCCAAAGCCTCACCCATGCGACCCAGCCTAGTTGATGACGTATTCTCACTCAACGCATACACAAACCACACATACACCCCGGCAACCATTACATTCCCCCCTCAGACATATGCCTCGCCGTACGGTGATGGCGAGACGTTGTCCAATTTTTGCAACCAATCACATGCATTGGTCTGATGCCTGCATGCCGTGTCCAGGCGGATGACTGGAGTGGTTGTGGCTGTTTTGTATCGTACGTGCGGGGGTGGGGCTTATACTGCATGGTAGCTTTTTTCTTTTTTTCTTTTCTGACCACCTACACTATTTAGAAGGATTCTTCCACTTCGATTTCCCCCCACTCTTTGGCTGAGGCCCGATCCTGACATTCGATCAGACCAGGTTGTTGTCGTGGTTGTCGTAAGGTTGACCCATACAGACAGATGTGAGAAGTTGGTCCAACATTGCTTTCTTATACAATAGTTACATAAAAAAACATTTTCTCATTTTCAAATGAAAAATATATAAAGTATGTAATGAACAGAGTGGTGGTTGGACGCGGGGGGGGGGGGGGGGGAGGAAGACCAAGATGGCCTAGACCCTTTAGAGGCAGAAAAAAGAAAAGAAGAACGCAAACAAGGCGGCTAAAGTGACGACGTACCGGAAGTATCAATGAGGCGACAGTTTTGCCTCGCATATCGCTTTCTTGTCACCCCTGCTCCCAGAATAAGTGCAATTTGAGCCTCATTTTTAGCATATAAGAAAGCTAAGGAACATGGTCGTCTGTTGACAGTCAAGAAACTACCCGTGAACTCCCATCAACGTTGTTATACACTGCATGCTTTCCAAGTACATGCCTACGCTTTCTATATACCATCTTTTTTTTTTCTTTTTTTTCGATTTCTTCTTCAAATAGAGGGTGGATTATTTGGGTTTTTTTTTTCTCTCTTTTTTTACAAGGAAATTTCCAGTACCCAAGCCGCCATCGCCAAGTCGTCGTCTCCTTCACCCCCAACCTGAACGATACCATCTGCTGCTTGCCGAGAGCAAGGAGGCCTACGTTGGTGTAGACAGGAGCGAAGAGCGTTTCTGTATCGAAGGATACTGACCGAGAAGGGAAAGGAACCATGGCTAAACCTTGGGAATCACACCGTGGGACCATCACCCGACTCTACATAGACGACAAGCTCACATTAAACGAGGTCCGTGAAATCATGCGGGACAAATACAGCTTTGAAGCGTCGTAAGTACGAACAATAAAGAGAAGGAAACCCCCACCCCCCTCCTCTTCTCTTGAACACGACATCTTTTTCTCTTCTTCTTCTTCTTCTTCTTCTTCTTCTTCCTTTCAGAGACTTACACACATATATAGCACTCGCTCATACCGGCAGCGCTTCGATAAATGGGGGCTGCACAAGTACAAGAAAGCCTCCACATCCAGCGGCGGTGGCGGGCTCACTATCGCCCCACCGCGCCCCACTCGAGGCTTCCGCGAAGTCGGGGACGAGGACGGCTGGTACGGCGGCGGTCGTCTCGTCGGCGGTGAACCCTCCTCCTCGTTGTCCTCCATCTTTCGGAGCAGCCCCGCCATCGTGAGGGGCAGCAGTCACCACTCCCTATGCCGGCTGCAGGACCAGCACCAGCACCAGCACCAGTACCCGTACCCGTACCAGCACCAGCACCAGCACCAGCACCAGCACCAGTTCCCCCTGGAACCCTCCTCCCCGCCCTACAGCTTTTCCGGCTGTAATGACGGGGGTGATCACGACGACATGTACTATATGCCTGGTCCTGCCACCAACTTTTGCTCCCACTCGGCTTCTATGCAGCCTAGGAGCTGTCCTACATCTGCAGACATAGATTGGGTATCGTACGTTTATTTGTTTCTTTCTTCTCAATCATTTATTTATTTGCACCTATATATATTACCCTTTCTGTCTCTCTTCTTCCCTGCTCCTTCTTGTCTCATCGCTTTTCTTCCCACCCCTTCTTTACCTCTTCCCCTCACAGTATACATCAAATATCACCTGCCCTTTTCCATCTCGAGACATCTGGGCAACGTCAAATCTATGATGATCGCTGACTTTAGAGAACTTCCAGTAGTCCCGAAGGTGAAATTTCGGGCGACATGGCTGCCAAGGACCTGTTCGGTCTGAGCATGTCTCTCATGGGTTTCGATGAGAGCAGCCATCTTCCGCAGTTGTTCAGGTGAGCGGAATGAGGAGGTTATATGACTTGGCTGTCGGCATGGCCAGTTTACCGGTGAGCATAAACATATGAGTATTTGGCGAGTCTTTTCTCTCCTCTTGTTCCTCTCTTCCTTTTTCGTCGGCTGCTGTGTGGATCGACAGGGAAACCGAGGCCTCTTTGTATGAATCGACGGTTTGTTCCTAGAACAGAAATCCGAGAGTTGAAGCAACATGTATTCTTTACGGAGAAATCCGGTCTTGTCATTCTCTTCACTTATTATAAATCGACTTGGCTATGTTTCTTTTTGGCTCTGATTCTCTTTTTTTTTTATCTTCACCCAATTATTCACGACTGTACATCGGGGATCGAAATTGCCAATGCCAATACATGTTGTATATTACCACGTGGCAGCAGCAAGCTAGTCTTGTCCACAACCCGATGGGTGCTGCCATTGATGGGATATCTAGGTGTCTGCCGTTACCTGATTCATTGCGTTAGCAACATTTTCGAGAAAGCTATGCGAGAGTAGATTGTCGTGGGTTATGTATTTCAGACAAAAGCCATGTCAAAGGCGTAGTCATCAATGCAACTTTGGCTATGTTGACCGTCGTGATAAATTTGTAACATCATGTGAACAGTGAGGGGGAAGAAAGGAGAACAAGGGGCAAGGTACTCACATTTGTTGTAGTTAGTAGAATACGAAGTAGACACCATGTTCCAGGCCGCTGTTAGAAGCTTTTTACCTTGTCAGTTCGACATTCTCCATGTGGAGGCAGATATGAGTACGTGAACGTGAGGTGAAATCAGGGGAATAAATATATCCTCGTAGCCGAAGCTCAGACATATGCTTGTCTTGTTTATTCGATTCATCATGTAGGATGGGAGGAAGGTGCTGGGGTTGAATCCTAATGGAGGTAGACTTACTCAGTATCTGTCGAATAATGTTAGCTTCAAGAGACACACGGTTGAATCCAACGATAACTGAAGAGATTTGCAATGAGGTCAGGTAATGCATGAATGGTATAAATAGTTTGTGTCTGCATCGGTAAACCCGGATAAGACTCGTCATCTAAAGGGTTCATCACAGTATGTGCAAGGGATACAATGTGTATCAGAAGAAAATAAAACTCAAGCTGACCTACCGATTTAGTTCAAGCTGAAGGATTCTACTAGCTCGGTAAGCTGCAGTGTCCATATCTGGCATTACTTGGTGGATGCGTCAGCCTCGACGGTTCGTGTTACGAGGTGAATACAGACGCCTTCAGGGGCTCTCCAATCAGTGGGCGAGGTTTTCTAGGCCTGCCGCAAAGTGGCTTCTCTTGCTCATTCGGTTTTCGGAGCCCAGTGCCGATTCATCATTTGGAGAGTGGAAGGGGTGGTTCGAGGGGATGCAGACGACCTGGTCATACCTTTTATCTGTCATTCTTCATAGTGTTAGCCAGCTATCGCAATAAGTAGTGGCATGAAGAATGTGAGGTAGCGTTGAATATCAGACATAGCCATTTATATCGTCAAGGTAAAACTCAGCCGGTAATTTCCAGCGTATATTAAAAAGAATTGATCATCATGAAAAGAGGGGTTGGTGGTGGAAAGAAAAAAATTGGAACATACCGTCATCACCCTAGATGATATACAACCCCAGTACCGAGCTTTCAAGCTGGACGGTTCCCTCCATTGATCCACTTGGACATGGGATCCTATTGAATATGCAGTTAGCAAAGTTGCTCGCCGAGAATACCAATGATTATGCTGTGCAAAAAGAAGTTGCGTTGTGTGGCATCTTTCAGACTGACGTGTAAAACTAGTTTCATTCCAGTGGTCAAAGACTCTAGTTTGCGGTTTACTTTCTGTCATCAGGAGGATGGGAGGGAAGGACGGAAGAGGAGAATCCGCAGCGTGTGAGGGGGAGGTGATCTTACCATTTTTGCTTGAAGCTGGTGATGGAAGAGAGGGAAAGAAAAAAAATCAGAGCACCTCTTTTGTAAAAAAAAAAAAAAAAAATGTCGGTGTGGGGCGGGAGCTACGACCACTCTCATGACATAAGCGGGTCACGTGAGGCCGTGTTGAATCCGCGCGCATGCCCTCTTAGGCAACGCCAGAAGAGACGCGCGCAACAATGGCGATGAGCGGGTGGGGGAATCCATACTTGTTCATACATGTAATTCCCACTCCTCAGTTACCGACTTTTAATCCCGCGACGTCATTGTACTTTCCGTGTCAATAGTGCTCATATTGTATATACTGCTACTAGTGCAATGCCTGAGATTGCTGAAGGTTCGATCCACGTCTAAGCTGATACTCCTAGTCGCGTTCTGCTAACCCTGAAGCAGTCGCTCGCATCGTCCATTTCCTGCGGCTGAGGCTCGTCGGGAAGCGGATCGCGAGTGCTACGGCCATTGATGATGCCAATGTTTTTGGGAAAGCTGGTACTACGAGCGCCGATGTAGAGAAGGCCCTGGAGGGCAGGACGGTTTGTGGCGACCCCTCGAGAGTTGGTTGATCGTGATCACCACTAAAAGCCTGTCACGCATCTAGGTTGTGTCGGCAGGGAACCAAGGGAAGTATTTCTGGTAAGCGAGCTCTTGGTGAAAATCTAAATACGCTGTTGGCCGAAGAGGCTGAACGTCCAATCCCAGGATAACGCTCGACAAGCCACCGCATGTGGTAATGCATTTTGGAATGACAGGTGAGATTACTTCTTCCAGGAAACCACCTGTAAACGATGCTGGTGTTGACCGGCATGTGCCAGGATGGGTTCATATACGGGGCGACAAAACAGCCTACACAAACTACTACAAGAAGATGAAGGAGTCGGAGTTAGATCAGTGGCCACCGCGGTTCTGGAAGTTCCAAGTTGTCACCGAGGGCGTGCCAGAGACAGAAATCGCCTTCACCGATCCGCGGCGGTTCGGCCGTGTGCGACTGGTTCATTGCCCCGGGGAGTCCATACGGCAATACTCTCCGCTTGTGGAGAATGGACCTGACCCCGTGGTTGACACCGACTCCTTCACCATAGAGTACATGCGGGGCAAGATGAGGGCCCGGCGCGTCCCCATCAAGGCCCTCTTGTTGGACCAGACCGTGATCAGCGGTATCGGAAACTGGGTGGCGGACGAGACGCTGTACCATGCCAAGCTCCACCCAGAACAGTACTGCGACGAGTTTGACGATGAGGCCATCACCAAGCTTTTCGAGTCGATACGCTACGTGTGCCAGACAGCGGTGGACAAGCTGGGCGACTCTGATGAGTTCCCGGAGCATTGGCTCTTCAACCACCGGTGGGACAAGGCCAGGAAGGGCAACTCGTCAAAGCTTCCCAACGGGGAGAAGCTGGCCTTTATCACTGTCGGAGGGCGCACGAGCTGCTATGCCCCCGCAGTACAGAAGAAGAGTAGCGGGATCGCTGCGAGGGTGAAGACGACTGAGAATGCCGATTCAGACGACAGCAGCAGCAAGACACACAAAAGAAAGAAGACTAGTAGTTCCAGGGTGAAGAAGGAGGAGTCGGACGATGACGATACGGGAGGCGATGCAAAGAAGATGAGAAAGCAGTCAGAGATGAAGTCATCCAAGGCAAAGTTGGAGGACGAAAAGGGCACAACGCCGCGCAGAAGATCTGGACGGCTGCAGAAATGAACCTCAGGACACGCTGTAATAAGTAGGGGATTTAGTTAATCACAATAGCTAAGTTTATGCTGAATCTTTTGATTCATCGTCGTTTATTTTTGACGCAAGTTCATGGACACCATGCACCAAAACCAAACTTGCATACACTGGTATGATGCGCTAGATATGCTTAGAAGTCGTCATGACCGCTATCGTGACGTGTTAAAGTTGATTCGGAGAAGAGGGAGAAGAAGAAGAACCAGCCAGATAAAAGTAAACAGTCGCTGTTGCAGAAAAATATTAAACAAAATCAAGGTGTAGAGCCAATGATAATCAAGGTGAGAACCAAGCACTGTCAAACCTCGCATTGTAGCCCAACAGCATAGTTGTGCATCTCGTCCCCCAGGCCCAGCTTCAGTGGTACAATGCTCATGATATTTTTGAAGGGCTGTCCATCCTTCTTGTAATTTGTGATGGGGAGCTGTATCTCCTTCGATTGCGCCATGGCACGAGACACGCGGCGGATGGCGGCCCTGTCTTCACTCGTGATCAGAGACCGTGCCTCCGGCGGAGGGTTCTGGAGGAAACGAGGGTTTCGGCCAAGGACTTCCGGGACCGTGTAGCCGGTGAGCTCGCAGAAACCGTCGGAGGCGTAGATGATGGGCGCGTCGGGCAGGTCGAGGTCGCACAGGGTGAGGGAGACGGAGCAGTCGACGGCGCCAAGGTCAATGGTAGGATTTGGGCGAGCTCTGAGTTGGATCTTTGGTTCCGTTGTAGTATTCCTCGTAAGCATGTGCCTCGGTGTTTCCCCCCACATCCTAAACATAGGAGGGCGACAAGCGGCAACGATTATATTGGATGGGGGAAAGGTGGCGATGAATAAGGGATGGCAGCGTACCAGTACCGACATGACGTCTATCCCGCTGGGACAGTATGATCCCGAGGTGAAGTCGTGAGGACGTGAACTGGCTATCGACTGGGGCGTCCATCGACGTGTCTCGCCGTCCTCTGATGGTTCACACTATACACGAGGCCATGCGTTCGTCCGTAGAGGTTAGTCATTTACATATATTTTTCAGCAAAAGCCGACGGTATCGCGGCCTTCATACTCACGTTGATGAAGGTCAGCCGACCCCATCTATCAATAAAACACCTCTGCTGCAGGTAGTCCATGATTAGGACAGATGCTTCCGGGATAGTAACAACAAGTAGCCGCGTACCATGGAGAAATTGATGTCTACAAAATAACAACGAAGGAGGAAGAGCAAGAGAGAAATGAAGATAGAGAAGGCAACTTGACACCTTTTCTGCTTCCCCTCGCCCCTTCTTGTTCCTTTCTTTCCGTCCGGCTCTCAGCGGTGTGGGGAGGCACGGGCTTGACACCAGAAAACATCCACTCCATTCATGTCTAATCTGCATCGGGAACAGCTCTCCATCAGGGAAAGAAGCATCGAGTCCGGCGATCCAAGGGTTACAGCATAATGGGCCAACATCTTGCGGCCATCGGCACTGAACCAAGCTAATCGAGTGGGGGGAAAGGGGGCAGGGGGTGGGCTGTTAGAAGGTATTGAAAGTTGACGGTATCAAGAGACAAGCTGTATGACATCGGTACTTGGTCTCAGCTTACTTCCAGAGAGAGAAAGGGAGATAGAAAGCGAGAGAGAGAGGGGGAAAGCAAGAGGGAGGGAGGGAGGGAGAGCGAGAGCGAGAGACATGGACAGCATGTTGCCACCACTTACGCATACGGGTTTACATCTACTAATCCTAGTCTGTCTCCCGTAGCGATTTTAAAACACGCTGAGAAATTCGAGATTGGGCCGATGCTTCTCGATAGTGATGGACGGGCCGGAGGTGGGACGATCGAACGGTGGGCCGTCACGGGTTAGAGATCTGGACCGACGGTACAAATCGCCCCAATTTATCTCCCAAGCCTCCCACTAGCATCATACTTTCATTATTACTCAAAGTCTCTTCTTTTCCTTCAAAGGGCAGACGGTCAAAATGCAAGGATCTCTATTATACATCTTGCGAAGCACAATGTAAGCCATGCTACTCAACTACTCACACATACACATCATCTACGAGACCTATCAACCTGGGCGTGTGTGCGCCGCCCCCCAGGCCGTTTTCCTCATCTCTGCGAGGCTCAGGTGATCAGGTGAGAGGAAGAGAGAAGTTTCAGTGTACTAGCACCGAGAGAGAGTTGGAAGTCGGTTGTGGAGCAGCTGCCGGTTTTCCTCATCTAGAAGCTGTCGTGGTTCCATCCAACAATGTTGGCAATGGACATTGACAAACACGACTACTAGCTGGCATGTATATATATGCATGCCGCACAAGGCACTGGTAGTCTCTTGGGGCGAGCTCCTTCGCATTCTAATATTGCCACTATGGGAACGATCATGATTCCGGGAATGGAAGAAACGAGCGAGTATCTTGGGCTATATGTAGGGGTGGATATGACTCGGTGAAGGGAGGACAACGTACAGATCGTGGCCTGTCTTCTTTGACAGGCTTTCCGCAAGCAGCTTGTCCGAATGGGAGTCTCGACCGGAAATCTGAAATCCGATATTTCTTTCGGGCCAAAAAACCATCAGACTTTCTCTCTAGACCGTAGTTAACTTCTCCCCAGAGTCATGACGGATTGAAGGACTCCAGTGGAAATTAGGCGATTGGTTTGTTGTATCCAGACCTCATCGTCAAGCACAAATTCTTATGTAATCCAGAAATACGATTACTATTAGTTAGTCGCCGTCACCACCATCAGGATCGTCTCTTTTTTCTATACTAATACGTAGTATTAATGATACAGTGCCGTTGATTGTTACACCACGACGCGTCCAAAAAATCGATCCCCACCGTGACCTCCCGCCCACCACCCGCGTCTTCAAATTTGTGAGAAACCCTCGATGTTCTAGCAGAAGAAAGGTGTTCCGAGCACATTACTAGTTATCGAGTCATCACGAACGCACGCATCATGTCTCGGCGACTCGTCAACCGAGCTCGCAGTAGCATCCCAGCCGCCAGCCAGTCGCCTGCACCAACTTCGGCCGTCCAGACTGTCGAGTACGAACCGCCCTCATTCCCCCTCACAGATGCAGCCGCCGCGAAGCTGGGCGAGCTATCACGCAACCGCGAGACGCTCGCGTACCAGGTCCAGATAAAGGAGTCCCTGCGGCAGCTAGCTCTGGCCGTGTACGACGTGAACAGCCGACTACTCGCTGAGCGGAACCGTCTCGAGCAGATGCGCACGCGCCGCCAAGACCGCGGCACCGACAAGCTACCGGAGGAGGACCGCCTGGAGGCGCACGTGGCCGACCTGGAGACCCAGGTCGATGCGCTTTCGCGGCGTTGCGAGGCAGCCACAAGGTCGGCCATTGACCAACGAGCCGCGCTCGAAGACGAGGCAACCCTGCTGGGCGAGCTGTACACGACTGCCACCACGAGGCGCACGCAGGAACCACCGGAGGAGCAACACGGTGAAGACAACGAGGAGCAGCAGCAGCAGCCTCGGTACGTTCCTAGCACCCTCGAGAGCCTACGTGAGGGAGCGTCCCGCAAGAGGCGGGAGTACGACGCCATGCCCCACTACCAACGATACGCTCTCGACAACGACTACATTTCGTTCAAGAAGCTTTGCCACGACGGCATAGCCGGTGATGATGGCCCCCCGCTTCCCGACGCCTCGAGATGGTTCCGTGACGATGGGACTCCCATCCTGAGCACTGCCACGAACACCAACGGTCATGGTGCCGGTGCCGAAGGGGACGGCGACGATGACGATGACGACGTGGCTGTGGCCCGCGAAGTCATCAGCCTCAACTGCCCGTTGACGCTGCGTCTGCTAGAGGAGCCCTACAGCAACAAGAAATGCAAGCATACGTTTGAGAAGAGCGCCATCCTGGACTACTTGGGCAACAGCACGGGGCCCATGCAGTGTCCTCAGACGGGCTGTGCGGAGGTGAGTCGTCTTGCCTCGGTTTCTCTCTCCTCTTGCATGTATAAATTCGAGAAACTGATACCGTCCATCTTGCTTTACCGCTAGATGTTCACACGCCGAAACTTTAACCAGGACTTCTACCTGGATGATGTTATTATGCATCGAGTTCAGCGCGCGAAGCAGGCGCAGGACGCTGATGAGATGGATGTAGAATCCGAGGCCGGCGATGAGGTATGACGTATTGCTGCCGGACGGCCAACGCAACCGCGATATGAACACGATGAATGTGGCATGATACCACAATAGGCGATATCATTACATCGTCACTTGTTCATCTGTGGCCAACTACCGAAGCCATCATTGTTCGAGTACGGTCTAGTTGGCCACACGAACAGAACAAAAAAGGAGAGCAAGAACGTTCATTGGCGCCAACGAATGTTGACCTAGCTGGTCGGGTCCGCAAGCCAGAGTTTCCTACGATGGCTAGCGCCCCTCCTGCGTATGTTTGCCCAAAATGGGAATGCGTTCAGCTGATATGAAGCTCTACGGTCCAATGACCTGCTTGGCGAGGTTTGGGTTACCCTCGCGGACCCGAAGCTTGGTGGTCTAGAAAGGCGCGTCGGATACCGGAGCCGCACCCTTGACCAGGCACGGGCCCATATGGCCGTCGATCACGAAGCCATCGAGCTCTCCCGCAAGCTTTGTGCAAGATGAAAAGTGGATGGTTTTCTCAGCACATCAGCGCCAGCAACAATATACCCTCGTTCGGGCGATTGGCAGTGCTTACTATATACCGTGTAATAATGATCTACACAGCCAAACAAGATTTCGGCTCGCCTGTACCTTCTATTGTATCCCCTCTCCTCTACATTCCTCTTGTTACAATAATGGTACATCATCTCGCCAGCTCGTAGGCACGGCCTTGTCCATCCTGTAGGGCAACAGTCAGGGTTCCGGCTCCCTCCTGACGGCCAGGAAGTAGTTGCCAATCTTCTCACTGCCCCGGACCTCCCTCCACCCGAGGCCGGGGACGTAGACGACGCCCATGACGCGCGAGACACCCCAGCCGGGCTTCTCGGAGAAGTAGCGGCACAGCTCGTGGTCGTTGATATACTTGTTCCAATCGTGGGTGCCGGGGGGCACGATGCGCAGCAGGTCCTCGGCGACGAGGTTGGTGGTGAACCAGCTGATCCACGTGCGGGCGATGGTGCTCATGACGAGCCAGCCGCCCGGCTTGACGAAGGGGAGAACCCCGTCGAGGAAGTCGGCCGGCCGGTCGATGTGCTCGATGACCTCAAAGACGGAGACGACGTCGAAGGAGGCCGGGGCGGCGTCGAGGTCCTCGATGGCGCACTGCCGGTACGTCAGGCGCGACGCCAGGGACGGGTCCTTGCGCGCATGCGCCCGGGCCACGGCCAGAACCTCGGGCGTCGGGTCGATGGCCGTCACGCTCCGCGTCGTGGGGAGGCGCGCCGCGCTCTCGGCGAAGATGCCGCCGCCGCAGCCGACGTCCAGGTATGCGAGTCCTGCTGCCGCCGAGCCCGGGCCCGAGCTCGGGCCAGAGTTGGCCAGGCAGGAGGCGATGAAGTCGTGGCGGAGAGGGTTCATCAGGTGTAGGAGTCTCGACGAGCCGTGCGGGTCCCACCAGTCGGCTGCGAGGTGGTTGAAGTGCGACACTTCGTCTGGGTTGACCGACGACGTTTTTGAGGACGATGGTGACGATATATGACGCCTCTGCTGTTGCTGTCGTCTTCGTTGTTGTTGTTGTCGCGAAGCTGGCCGTGGGAAAGGGGCGACAGCCGCGGGTATAGATGCTGCCGCCGCCGCCGCCAATCGACGTGGGGCTGCTGCATTGAGAGATGAGAGGCCGGCGGCGGCAAACCGTAGCGGAGAAGCCATTGTTTGAGCTTCTGTAGCGGGGGGCGAGAGAGGGAGTGGGGTGGGTGGAACGGGAGGAAAAGTTCGGGTCGGGTCGATTGAGAGGGCGAGAAAGTTGGATGGATGCACGGTGATTGTAGTTGATGAGGGTTGAGCAGTTGAAGTTTTGGCCGGGTGGGTCCCGGGTACTTGGGATGCAAATCTAAGACTGGGAGGACAACGGCATGTCGGACAGAGGCAGTGTATAACTATTTATGATGTTGATAGAATAGGTTCAGATTCTCTGTTTTGATAGAACCATCTCTTGATGTCCTAATGCCATGATGCCAATGTCCCTTGTTATTGTTCAGAAGCTAGCCCATCAGGCAATTCTTCATGGTAGTAGACGTGTGCCGTGTTATGTGACTTCTCAACCACGCTGTACGGATGCTCCAACAGATGAAGCTGCGCCATGAGGCCAATGCCATTGATCTCATTGATATTCCGGTATTAGTCCAAAGTGACAGACAAGCTGCTTTGGCGGAAGAACAGATGAAAGTGAATCTAGACCCAGAGAGGGTAGAACAAATGCGTCATTGGTTACCGTGAATATGAGGCGAAATATACAAGGCTCGACGTGAAATAAAAGGGAAGGCTGGTCTGTGGCTTGTAGGAACGTGTAATTGCAGTCGTTGTTTTGTTCAGAAAGGTCCATGTACTACCTCCGTACTACTACTTTCAGATGAATTAAATGATTCTACAAAACAATTCACCGTACTAAGAAGGGGGGAGGCAATATTTTCTTCCTCTTTATCTTAGTCAACTTCTTGCGGGTGTTATGCTATGAGAAAGCGTCAAATTGTATAATACAGTCGACCATATGAGCAAACAATGCTCTCCCTCCCGTGTTTTTACTACATCTTCCCCCCGAGGCCAGTCCATCCTGTCGCTAGGTTGATGAACCTTGTAGGACAGTCTGCCATCCAAAAAGAGTATGCTCTTTTCCGACTTACAGATGATGCCAACATCTTCAAGCAATGTCTGGGGGGATTGCCTACCCGGCACAAGCATAACGCGGCTCTATTCGACCGAAGAGATACAGGATTACCTGAGCCGGGAACTATGTGTGCACGTATGCCGAGGGTCCTCTGCAAAGCCTGTGTATTCTCCATAGTATGTACATGTATCATTTGAATCCCAAGATATGGTGATGGTGGCCTTATTGTGTAGAAAATCTTGTAAAAGTCTTGAGTAGAACTTGCGTGGTTGGTACATGTAGTCTTACACTTCTACGACGGGACGCAGAAAGAAAGAGCTGGTCAAGAGCGGCGGTAAACTTCTCCGGACTAGTTTCCCCATCATTGTCTTTCGTCACAAGTCCTCCGCGCTGGTTTAACCGAGTCGCTGCCCTCCAACCTTCTATCTTTTCCCTTCTCGCTTCATAGGGTGGGAGGTGAGAAACCCCCTCGCCCCGCGGAGTCGCTAGGATAGCAGCCAGTCTGGCTTAGCATGGGATGGACTGGGCGTAATGTAATATCATACAGTGGAAGACAACCTTCGAGGAACCTTTCTCGCCCGACCTCCGACATATATCTCTTATTCCTTGGGAGAAGCGGTTTCGTAGATCATCCTCATGACGCGTATCGAGCGACTCGTACGAATCTATGGCAGCCACTACTTCTATTCCTAGCAGATGTGAATGTCAAGCTCGGAACCCACTTGAGTCGGTGTTTGCTCTCGTAATGATAGCGCATCCAAGAGAGCAAAAGCCTCGGGGGCCTTCTGTTTCCTCTGTAGACCAGATGGCTGCATAGTCGACTCGAAGCCATACTACCGCACACAGGGGGCAGATGATATGAGACCTCGTATCGTAAATGCAGCTGATAGTATGGATGAATGAAGGGGGAGCCGCAAAAGGCATGCAGATTTAACGAAAAGGGGACAGGGAAAGAACGTAATAGTAATAGACAGAAGTGAAGATGGTGGCCGGAGAGACACACGGACATTCCGCTCTCGAGCGTCATTACACCTTGAGAGAGCGACGGGGTTGCTACCACCTCTTCTCTTCACACGTACATCTTCTTTCCTGAACATGCCTAGAATGGGGAACACATGTGTCAGCTCGACACCGCTGAGAGGTTATTGTTGTTGCGTCACTGACATCGTCAGGGCTCGTCGGCCCTGTGGTACGTGGGTGGCAGACTCTGCCCCCATAAGAATATCTCGTTGCTTCTAAACCTCAGATTGTAGTTTGTAGTTGCATACAACATATAATATACAACCAAGATTCACATATTCAACAGGTCATGACCCCAGTTTGCAGCAGACTCTTCCAAAAGAAAACTGAGCTGAAAACATCAACCGACTGTCTGAAGAGTACTTGAAGAACCCACCACATCTGCATGAGATCTGCAACCTGAAGTTCCCTCTGAAACCTCTCTTCTGAAACCCCCCACCCCTCTCACTACCTCCATCAGTTACCATAGCCACCACTTCTCAGGCACGCAGTCTTCCGGTCAAACTGGACGCGGCAGACTTATCAAACTTTAGGATCACTGGGGACAACTTTCCCCAATGTAAAACTTCATGGACTGCTGCTTTCAAGGTCTCCGGCCTCTGGACCCTCGTCAAGGGTGACCGCACAGACGGAGACAGCTTCGAAGAGGACGATGCCAAAGCCCTCATGTATCTCATCTCTGCTGTAGATGGAGACCTGCTTCCCCTGGTTACATCCGAGGATACTGCAGCAGAGGTTTAGGTCCTCCTCAATGATCGGTTTGACAGAGACACCGGTCACAGCACCATCCAGCTCTCCCGGAACCTCGTCTCTCTCTCCGCTACCAACAAGGACAAGACCTCCAAGTCCGTCTAGGCAACTTTCACCAGCTCTGGACAAAGCTCTCTAAGCGCTGCTCCCATTCTAACCCGGAACTGGCTCGTGCCCTCAATCCGATGACAAGATCAGACACCATCAAAAGTTCTTTCTTCCTGACCACACTACCTGATTCGATGGACACCATCATCGACAACCTGTCAACAAGCGGGAGAAACACCTTCCAGGACATCGAGTCCAAGATGCTTGACATTGCCTCCCGCACTCAGGACGACCAGTCCCAAGCAGGATATTACACGAACACCGCTCGGAAGGCAAGCGGCAACAACCCCAAACTTGGACCCCAGTCAAACCCATCCAGATCATCCATTGTTTCTAGCCTCTCCTTTTGATGGAGCTCGACCATGTTCTCCCATTGTATTTTTAGCACCTGCATACATGCACGAAACTGCATCGTAGGAAGCTGCAGTGACCCTCTTCGCTCAGGCTTAATTCTGCGTCCTTGATGCAAGTATTACGTGCAGCCGACATCGTCGTAGAAATAATCGCGCAGATTCAACCCTAGCCCCCCGGTACATGTACCGAGAGCATATGATTGATGTAATCTGATTCGTTGCGACGCGTCCTGTACTCCGTGTTCGGTATTTGTATTCCCGCAATCTGGATGGGACGGAGCAAGATGCTTCAGTCAGCCGGCAGTCAGCAAATTCATTGACCGGTAACCGCGGTGTCCACGTATACCTCGGAGGACCTGCGGAGCCAGGCAATATCCTCAATCTCCACCCTGGCGGACGTGTAGATGCATTCTGCACAACCACATTACGGCATACAGTGCTCCCCCATAATAAATGGATGCCGAGAAATTCGCTGCATGTATCGTAGTGATACGTACTCCGTAATATCTATTACGAGTATAGCCCGCGATTCCCGGGGTGCCTAGGGATTCCAAGCGTCAAGCATAGGTGACAAGCTTGTCTGCCAAGAACCAGCTGCTCCGCAGTCCGCACGGCATGTGATCCATGCTTCCGTGCTCTATCAGATGTGCAATGTGTGCGGGGGTGACGCGTCTATCTTTTATGGAGAGGCAGGTGTATTATTATATTGGCAGTAGGTGAAGACCGTGATGTCGCAGCAGTTGAACGGTATATATCGATGCAGTTCAATGGAACAACGGGCAAAAAGGCCGACGGGCACGTGTCAAAAAGGCATAGCTGAACGCATACAAAGGAAGAAAAGGGGCACCGGAGGCCGCAGCGTCATATGACCAGTCAAATTCAAGGTCAAAAGAGATATCGTATTACATCAAGGCTGATTGATTCTGGAAGGCTTCTTGGCTATCAGTACAGAAGCAATTCGGTGGACAATCGACGGCTGCAGCAAAGGTATCAGACTTCTCTGAGCTGTAATATAACTTGAGCCTCTTGTAGTCCTATTTCCAACTAGAGCCATGATATGGGAGAATTACACGACACAGGCGATCTTGAGATTTTCTTACAGACTACGACGCATCCTGGGCCGTTTGCCCAGCATTGTGTTAGGCACACGAGTTGAAGAGAAACAGATTCCCGCTGCGATGGTACAGTTGTGACAAAGGTGCAAATGGTCAACACGATGACCAACAGATCAGTTGGTGAATAAGCTGTGGACAGCAGTCGAGGCTGGGCGGTGTGTGCGTGTGTGTGCGTCTGGTCTTTACGTAGATGCATTGGAGCTCCTAGTCCAACATCAATGATGGGCACCTCGGATTCGGGCAAGAAAAGGCCATCTGGTCCGACAGTGCGGGCGCCATCTTCCCGCTCAACGGCGTGCCGCTTAGTGACGACAAGCCGGCGTCCTGTAACGACGCCTCGTGCCACCTGTTCCTGGCTCCCGAGGAGGCGGCGCCCTTCCGGATGATGCCTATCACCAACACCTTTGAGGGGTGACAAGGCTCACGTCTACACTGTATCACGCGAGGCGTATGGCCGCGTGCGCATCTTCGTGCTGGAGAACGCATCCGGGCTCGAGGAGACCGAGTCGTGGCGTCTGGTAGACAGGCAGCTCAGCTTCAAAACCACGCAGCTGGCCGAGGGCCTCACACTGACCTCTGACGGCCGCGACTACGAGCGTGAGACGGGCATGTGGGAACGTCAACGTGCTGATCAGCCTTTGACGTGTACGAGACACGCGGGTCCGAGGACCGTGTCAGCGACGCCGTCGTCCTCAAGATTGGCGCCCGCTGGACGCACCACCACCTCCAGCAGGTCGAGGTCTCTGTCACCGCGGGGGCCAATGACTCGGAGCCGGCCTGGCAGCGCTTTTCCGAGCAGACAGACGTGGGCAGCCGGGCGGCTGGGGTGCCCAGCATGATCCTCTTCAACCAGTCGTTCAACATCTAGGCCAGCACGTCCCCAAGCCGGCGTACACCAGCATGCCGGAACCCAAGAAGCCACATTGCTATGCGCATCATGCTCCGCTCAGCACAGGCAGCTCCGCGGCCCCGGCATGGGCGCCTTCCAGCCTAGCAACTCGGCCGAGACGGGCTTCGCCGTCAGGGGCTTCGGTTATGACACCATCAGCAGCTACGATAACCTAGAGACCACCTCCGCTCGCACAGGTCCAAGAGCGGCGTCAACTACCCGTCCGGCTGCATCATCCATGGCAAGCACTCTGACACGCTTTTCTTGCAGCCCCTACGCGGCCTCATCTCCAGCAACGCTGTGCAGTCGTCGCTCTCTTCTTCTAGGCTGGCTGGCTCAAGGTCGGCCACGTCGGCGAGTCTATCCAGTTCCTGCCCTACGACAACGATCTCGGCTCCTTCCTCCCTAACTCCGTCAACGGCGTCATCTTTGACTACGAGTATGTCGGCCCCAACCCCTTTGGCTCCTCCATCGACGGTGAGGACGTCTTCGCTGACGCCATCAGGAAGGCCCACGCCAAGGCCGGCGTGAATGCCACTTTCGTCGATGACTTATTCAGCCACCACTCGGAGGAGGGTGAGATCCACTGCGGTTCGAACATGCCGAGGCAGACGGACATTCCCTGGTGGAAACAATGGTCCCCAGCATCTCACTCACTCAGCCATGCTTACATGCACTGAGTGTTCCAGCCATAGGAGTAAATGCAGGTGTTCTATTTGAAGAAGAAGGAGAAGAGGATAGATACTACCAGCCAAGTAATTATGTCAACTGGTAGCTTAGAGCCTGTGAGTGAGGGTCGATTTGCCGATAGACATAGGCATCGTTTATTGAAGTATATATCAGATATCGACTTCAAGACCCGACCAGAGCTCCACGGTGGAGTCTGTTCATACGGGAGTAGACAAAAACCAGTTTGAGTGTCCGGGGTTCCACGAGGACGAGTATTATTACTAGTAGGCATATATTCCACGAACGGTATTCCCAAGCCCCCTTGTCGTCTTCCGACACTATGATGTACTACCTGTACATGTACTACAGTACTGCTAGAAAACAGGTTTTAAATCCTTTCCCGTCAAACAATACTCGTACATGAACTCGTAACTGGCGGCCCGTCCTTCTGCCCACCCTGCCGTGAGAGATGGTCTGGGACTCCGTGGGCTCTATCATATTCCTGTTTAATAATATATTATAATCAAAGTGACGCATTGACCCATGAAGTTCGAGAAGCCACACGTTACACACATGGAGTTACGTGGCATTCTTCAAGTCTTTCTGTGCGTAAGTACATGTAAGTAAGCTACACCCTGGTAGACAACTTGTCACTTGAATGTTGTCATGGCCATTGTTGTGGATTGTAGATAGAAGGAGGAGGAGAAAGAGGAGGGGTTTAGCCGGTGTTTCTCGTACAAACAATGTCCAACCGGTCGTCGATTTCTCCCTGGGGAAAGGGAAGAGGGGGGGGGGCTCTTTTTTTGCGCACGCGCGCCGAAAAGGGGCAAGGTCACTGTCAATGGAAATATGCACCACAAGGGGGGGAAAGATATCACAAGCACCGGGAGTAATAGCGACTTCACTCGTATGTGTCCACATCTGCCACGCGACCATGGACGAGTGATTAATAAACACAAATATTGGGGACCAATAAGTCAGAGGTACAAAGGAGAGCGTGTTATCCTCCTCCCGAGACACTGGTGGACGGCCGACAATACCCTAGGAGTCGGGCAGATGAGGTCATCGGACCCAATATAGGGTAGTATGATGCCCAAAGATTGAAACAACATAGCCTCGGAGCCTTTCGGTGCGTGCGTGCGTGCGTGCGTGCGTGCGTGTGTAAGCTCGTCCTAGGCATGCATAGCTCGGGATGAAGACTAGAAGAAGGATGTATGAATCTCCGCCTGGCCGCAGTAGTACAGGCCGATTGGTTGTCGTCTATGTATGTATGATGTCTGTTCAATCCTCCTGTTCAGGACACACGATGGTGATGGATGTCCCGGTTGGATAAGCCGGAAGACATTGACGAGCAAGTGAAACCGCTGACGATGTTTCTGAGAGAAGTCAAAAAAAAAAAAAAATCCAAGCCTCGCTTTTGACTGGCAAGACCGAACAACACTTGGGGAGGGGGGGGAGAGAGGGGGAGAAACTCTCTATCGTTCTCGTGATGCGTCTTTTCTCTGCCGGGCGACAAGAGATAACTAACTCGAGAACGTTATTGATGTAATGCCAACTTGAGCACCAACAATTTTGCCATTAATACGTCTCGTTTTGGTATCAATGATGCTGCGTATGTGAAGCAGCATGGAAATCATCAGCTGACCCTCCCCGTGTTTGTCACACTACCATGCAACATGCTCAACATTGTACCACGGCGTGCGTCATGCCATGTCATGTCGGTGACCAGAGCTCTCACCCCCCCCGGCCTGCGATAGATCCTGAATCACAGCGTCTCTTGGAACCATGATGCTGTTGGCTAGGTAGGTCAATGCCAGTTGAATCGAGGTTGCTGCGAGGCAGGCCTTGGCGGCGGTGATGGCCGAGTTCGAGGTTACGTGATGACAGGGAAAAAAAAGAAGAAGAGGACGTGTAAGCCGAAGACATACCATCATGCGGGGGATGGGAATGAAATGGGCAGATTGAGGTGGGTGACCCCCGTACTTTGCACGAGCCGAGCGGCAGAGCTTTCATGCAGCAGTTTACGACAGAGAGAAGAACAAAGCCAGGGCCCTTCCCATTCACTGTCCACCCCTCGAGTCTGCCCACCTGCATACCTTGAATGCTCGTACGTCATATCTTACTTGTCGGGTCCGTTCCATATCTCGTTTGCAGAGCAAGGGGCCATGGTGACCAATGCGTTTGGGTAGCAATAGAAAGCCGTGCAACGAAGTCGAGACAAGGCTTGGACATCGCGAAGGTGGTGTGTGTGACGTAACATGGACCCTCATGATGTGCAAGGGAAAAAGGAAGGGGAATTAACAATCGGCATGGCCACGTCTATCGTGCATCCTCTGAAGAGGATGTAAGACGGGAAATGGGAAAGCGTAATGTGCATGTGCCATCCTTCCCGTCGTCGTACTATATAAGCATTTTCAGTAACACCGAGGGAACAGTAAAGAATACCTGCCAGGATATACATGTATTTCCGAGGCTAGTTTCATGCAGACATGTAACCGAACGGACATGCTTCTAGTCAGAAGAATGCCTTCTCGGAACGAATAGATGTGCCCTCCAATCCCTCTCCTTCTTCCGCCTCCCTGGGACCACGATGGCAGCATCCCACTTTTGTCCACAAGCAGGCTGCTTCACTGCAGTATTGTATTTCCGATATGATTGAGAAAAACAAAAGGAAGAAGAAGGGGAGGAAAACGGATGAATTTTTTATATTTTCTTGAAAAATAAAAATACAAAAAGATATAAAAAAAATTGGTGGTGCTGTGCAACCGTCACGATGGGCCTCTCCGTAATCAGATTGGCATCCGTTTTCTACCTGTTTTAATTTTGAGGTTCCTTTCGCGACTCTTACATTCTGTCACAGGTTCCTCCTTACATTGTGACGGATAGGAATAGCTGCGCCAACTGCCTTACCTGCAGGTAAACCTGTACGAAACTCCGTATGTACATACACATATAAGCATGTCACTCACCGCCACATCACAGCACGCGGACAGTTTCTCCGAACAACAGGGTATTATTATAGTCCAAAGCTGCAGCAATGCGTGATGGCAGTTGTCATCAGCCGGTCCGTCTCTTCGTATCACTGCGCGTCAAGAGGGGGTGATGAGGCCACGTTCCCGAGCCGATACACGTATGTATCGATATCCGTTTGAAAAGGATATACCAGGGGAGAAGGGGAGGCAGAGGGAGAGAAGCAAGTAACACTAACACCATAGCATGCAATACAGGCTAGACGAAACCAGTCAGCAGCGCTTCCGCCAAGAGGGCGAATCCTTGCATACTAAACTACGAGTACAGGGGACGGCGTGACTGGGTACTACCCATATCCGTGACCCTCCCCACCACCACCCTCTCCCGTTTCGGCGGAAGAGGCGGCCTTGCTTGGTAGGTGACACAAAGGGAGAAGCCCAAACCATCCAAACTCACCCAAGCACCCTTCCAGCCTCGCGCTCATTACGTCGTACGGAGTCATCTGTACATGTATGTACATTGACGACGCACATGCGGTCATACCCCCTCCCCCTTTCAACGCCCGATGCATCGAAGCAAAGTAAGGCTCCCAGCGTGCTGGGCTGCATGGGACGGTAAACGGTGGATGCCTCGTAGCAGGTGTGAATAGTATAGGTCGGGACCCCCCTTTCCTACGATAGTACGCGATCAGATAGACCCTGACGGAGAGCGGATTGCACACGCCCATGCATGATGGCCGAGGTCATAGATGCACGTTTCTTCCAAAAAACACGCATAACGCGGCTAGCTGAAGAGGTTCACACAGGAGACGTATCTACGGTCAGGTGACCGCTCGGATAAGCTTATTCCGTCCCGCTGCTCTCAGATTTGCGTCACCGGATACAGAGTACAGATTACTAATACAATGTATCGATTGTTGTTGGAGATTTCCTTCTTTTCTTGGCATTTTTCTTCTGTCAAGGTAATCTACCATTCAGTACGGAGTAGGCCAAGAGAAGAGAAGGAGAAGAAAGCCACGGCCAAGAAGAAACTACAGTCAGCATGAATTGTGTACAGAAAGGGAAAAGAAAGAAGAGAAGATGATGATAATACCCCATGTGCGGGCTTAAGCGGAACCGACTCCGTACAGACAGCTCCATACTAAAACGACATTTCATACATACCCAACCGCGTCGAACCAATCGTCATGTGATGGACCAACAGCTCTTCCTGTTCAGGACTCTTGTTTCTTTCCAAGCATCCGATTGGGTCTCACTTGTCTCTGTGGAGGCAAGTGAACCGTAGGCTCGTATACTCATGCCACGATGAGCAGCAGGATCAGGCAAGGTCTGTGCGATTTTTTCTTTTTTTCTCTCTTTTCTTTTGTCCCTTGACAAATATACTGCCCATGTATCTGTATTTTTGATCAATTTGTCCAATCCTACATCCCAGCAATCGCACCACGTCGATCCTCCCCTTTGAGGATCGGTATGCTAAACGTAGCACACACTAGTAACAGATGTACCTGTCAACCATAACCACAGCACGGGTAGGTAGCCATGATGGGAGGGAGGGAGCAGGGGACCCAGGGGCTCTGGCAAGGTACTCACTCGTACAGGTGTCAGGATACATTCCCCTCGCTGTCATCCTCTACGGCAGGGGTTCTCCTAAAAGGCATGATGAAAACAGCTTTTGACAACTGACAACGGAGTAGGGGAATACAACAAAAACTAAGAAAAGGGGGCGATTAGAAAGAAGCACGAGGCAGATCAGTCAAAAAGTCACCGAGACTACCAGGAAAGTAAAAGAAAAATAAGTGCTTCTTCTCTATGCAAAAAAAAAAAGGGGGGGGGGGGGGGAGAAAACGTGGGCAGAGGACGAATCGAATACATGCGAATGATACCCGACTCGTCGCCATGGATGCTTCTCGCCTAAAAAAGCAAATAATATTACAGCTCGAATCCACCCCACCAGCACCCCCCCTCTCTTCGTAAATATGGTCCAGGTAAAGAAGAAGGGAACAGGAAGTAGACCAAGAGAGAGAGAGAGAGAGAGTGTGTGTGTGTGTATGTGTGTGTGTATGTGTGTGTGTATGTGTGTGTATATGCGTAAAAACGGGATGAAGAAGCAAAGAACGAAAACTCCTTCGATATGAGTGGATGTACTATCGGATTCCCCTTTCCTTGGCCTCCCTCCCCTGCTCTTGAACTCCCTGCGCTGCAAAGGTGTATATGTGTGTCCGTGTGCGAGTATTATGTGTGTTGGTGTGGGTGAGAATCATGCCAGTTTTGGCGACCGCGCAAACGTCATGGGCCCTCGCCGCCGTCGCCATCAGTCGTTTTTGGGCTGGTCTGGGAGACAAACAAGGAAGCGAGCGAAGGAGACGAGATATCCAGACGAAGAAAAAGGAAGGGGGAAGAAGGAAAGAAAAAGAAAAGAAAAAAACAGGGAAGACAGGTGGAGAAAGGCACAAGCCTTAGCACATACTATTCAAATGTACAATACATGATGATGTATGTATGTGCCTGGCGGGGGAGGGTACTAGGTAGGGTACGAGCCAGACCGGCCGTACTAACCCTTTCCCACCCTCTTCCCCAAATCAACCCATGCGTGTGTGTGTGTGTGTGTGTGTGTGTCTGTCAATCGATTGGGAGTTTCACTCAGATGAGCTTGCCTGTCCATTCTTGCAAGTCCCCGACGATATGGTAGGTCGGGTTAGCCGAATGCCCATCGCCCCCCCTCTTGTCCCAGGCCCAGCGATCGGCGTACTCATCCGGTAGCGTGCCCTGCATCATGTCCACCACATAATCTCCAATGACGGGGAGGAACTTCCAGCCGTGGAACGAGCCACCCGTCGCCACGTAGAGGTTACGGCAGTGAGGGTGAGGGGTGATGAGGAAGTCGTGTGTTGGCGTCGATGCATCCCTATTTTTTTTTTTTTTTGAAAAAAAATTGGTTGCTGTCAGTATGGCAGAGGTGTAGAAGAGAAACAAGACAAGAGGATGATGGGATGTGAGGCTGATTGATCAGTCAATTGGGGGGAGGAGAGCAGTGTGTAATTGAGAGAGACAGTGGGAGAGAGAGAGAGAGAGAGAGGGCGAGAGAGAGAGGGCGAGAGAGAGCAGGGGGGGGGGGGGGGGGGGAGACATACCAGCACATCCGGTAGGCGTCAACCGAAACGTCCTTGACCTCATCGCCATAGAGACCGTCAATCGTCTTTCGCGCACGGTCCTCGAAGAATTTGAGAAAGTTGGGGCCGGTCCAGACATTGTACACGGAGTTGTCGGGGACGGTGGACATGCGCTCCCCGGTGGCGGGGAAGTTGGTGTAGTTTGTGAAGCAGAAGTCGCAGTTGAACTTGAGGGTGCCGTCGGGGAGTATCGACATGCCCTCGCCCTTGACCTGAGGTAGACAGCTCTTGAAGACGGGGATGGGCTCGAACTTCTTCCTCTGGGGACCGTCGACCTTGGCGTAGAAGCTGACGGCGCCGGTGGCGAGCAGCCTGTCGCCGACGTGGAGCGTCTTGTCCTCGGGGGCGCTCTGGGCGAGGAGGGCGGCGGTGCGGGCCCCCGTGGCCATGAGGATCTGGTCGGCTCTGAGGGCCCTGCCGTCCTCGAGGTCGACGCCGGTGCATCGGCCGTCGGGGCCGAAGCTGAGGGTCGACATCTCGCCGGTGATGTAGTCGACGCCCAGGTCGACGGCGGCCTGGACGACGGCCCCGAGGGCCTTGTCGGCCTCCGCGTAGCCGACCGACGGGTTGTACAGCACCTTGTCGACGCCGTCCAGGTTGGAGGTGGCAAACACGCCGTTCCACCGCCTGCGCACCTCGTCGACGGGCAGGTACTCGGACCCGTTGTCGCAGCCCAGCGCCCTGTAGGCGGCCATGCTCTTGGTGCCGAAGCTGGACGGGTCGGCCCTCAGCATGCCCACCTCGTGGTACCAGGGACCGTACAGCTCGCTCTCGCGCCACAGCGGCATGGCCCTCAGGAGCATCCGCATGTACAGCGTGTCCGGGTAGTCGTCGCGGACGATCTTGTTGATGTCGTGCGAGGCAGCTCGCGGGTTGGGGTACCCTGCCGTGTCCACCAGCATGACCCGGACACCGCCCTTTCTGGCCAGAGATAGGGCCGTGGCGGCGCCAAAGTTGCCGGCGCCGATGATGAGGACGGTCGACATGCCACTTCCTAGGTGGTAGGTCGTCCCAACCGGGGGGCCGTTGACAGTCATGGCGGTCAAGAAGAGGTGAAGGAGAGGAAAGGTGATGTAGACGAAGCGATGGGCTCGGTTCAGGTTGGGAAGAAAAGAGAGGAAGATGAAAGAGGATATGCAGACGAGGTTGAGAAGATGATAGGTTATAAGAGAGGGGACAAGAAGAGGTATATAGATGAATGGGGCCAAAAAAAAAAAAGAGAACAAGAAAGAGAAGGATAATTGAGTCGAAAGGTAAAGGTGGATATATATATATATATGTATATATATATATATGTGTGTGTGTGTGTGTGCGTGTGCGTGTGTGTTGGAAAGATGTGGTTACCGTTGTTGTAGGCAGAGGGGGGTGGTGTGTTGTACGACCCAATACCAGTTGATGCAATGACGACGTTGCGTTGAAGTATGTATTGCCTGGGATAGCAGAGTGACAAGCTTTCTTATTTGGCCTTCTCTTCTCGCCTTTCGTTTCACATAAAGCAAGGATATGATGAAAGAGTCGAGAGAAGGGGGGAGGAATCCGGAGAATGTGTTCAAAGCCAACAGGTGAGCAATCAGGACGGGTATCCGGTGTGCATCTATACTTCAGCCAGTGACAGGGTTGGGGTGGGTTGCGAGGAAAGAAGGAGAGGACGGATGGAAAACAATGACAGACAATCCGATATACCAACAGAGACGGAGAAAAGAGAAGAGTGTCATGGCCATCAATCCTACTACTGCTACTATATAGTCTTACTACAGCCCTTGACTTATACTATAGGGGTAAACATAAAAAAGAAAAGAAAAAGAGTGAGAGAGTGGTCAGTGGGGGGGGGGGGGGGGGGGGCGAGAGGGAGAGAAAAGGAAAGAAAAAATACGGAGTAAATAAAATAGAGAAAGCATGAAACGATATTAGCACGACCTCTAGTCCCATGATTTAGCCCACGTCCAACACGCGCACGCAACGATTAGGCAAGCAGAGCTTCACCGGGAGTCCGGGCGGACAGCGGGTCCCGGAACACAATTCACGGCAGAGAAACAACCCCACCCCTCCTCCATTCTTTCCCTCTCTCTCTCCGCCCCAGTCGTAATCCAGTCGTGGTCGTTAGAGAGAGAGAGAGAGTGTGTGTGTTGAAAGAAGATTGGCGTGGTTGTCCCCCGACAGGGAAGTAATGTCTCATTGAACTGGTGTCGGGCGAGGCTTTATGCAAGTCAATAATACCAGGATGTATTACGTCGCACATAACAATACATCGATATAAAGGAAGTCAATGTATGCCATGTATACTCGTAGCAGTACGTACTCCTACTGGTGGACTGGTAGATCCCTTAACAATACAAACATGTAGACTCTAGTGCGGAGTACCCCGTAGGTGTGCACAAGTATCATTAGCGCTCCTCACACACTTGCAATTCGAGAACAGAGTCAGCCAATAATCCCCAGTTCCCTGTGGCTCTGGAGTATTAGCGTAGATTGTACGACGACATATCATACATTGCACACCTACCACCCCCCTTCTCTTTTTCCTGTGCTGTCCCCTACCCACACACACACACACCACCACCACCAATTCCCCTTCTTTCCTCGTAAAGCCTCTGTTTTGTTCTGTCTGGTAAACGGACAGAAATCAAGGGGGGACTTTCGACTACTCACTGTAACAGTCGTCATTGACAGACAACGAACGAATGTAACAGCGAGATTGGTAAGATAGAGAGTCGGAGAGAGAACAAGGTGTGACTGGGAGCATCAAAGGGGAACGCGGTGAGGTTACGAATCCATGTGCCTCTTTTCTTCTTCTTATTATTATAATCTCTAGTATCTACTACTACTGCTGCTGCTGCTATATCCCCCAAGATATGTAAAATAACCAAATATGTATATTATATAATATATATATATATGTGTGTGTGTGTGTGTATGTACTTATATGTGTGTAGGCCAATAAAATGAAAACAACGGTAAAAAGAGAGGGAAACAAAGGAAGAGGAAGCAGAAGAAGCGGGTCCGTTTTGCCGTTTCTTTTTTTCCCATTTTCCTAATAAAAAAAATAAAAATAAAAAAAGAAGAAGAGAAGAGATAATATTTATGGGAGTACGGAGTACCGCCCCCGCCCGTTGGCATGATGTTTGGCGCCGATTGCCCAGCAGGGGAAGAGGGAGAGGGAGGAAGGGAAGGGGGGGGGGGGGGGGGGGGGGGGAGATAAAAAAAAAAAAAAAAATTAAAAAAAAAAGGAAAAAGTGACTTGGAATTTATCGTAGAATAGAAAGTGAATGAGGCAAGGGAGAGTCTCCGATGAGGAAGAAGGGGGAATCCACGCGAATCGGAGAGGGAAGAGAGGAAGAAGAAGAAGAAGAAGAAGAAGAAGGAGCGAGCGGAAAAACCAAGGAAGGCGGAAAAAAAGCAATTACAAAATCAACGACGTGGTTCTTCCCGTTGCATCGAATTTCCAACTTGTCTCGCACGTGTACATGTACTCTGGTCGATGTGACCTCATAACGTGTGGGGAGACCGAACCGATTTCCCCTTGCCTAAACTCTTTTGGTCACAGCGAGAGCGAGAGAGTGGCAGAGAGAGAGAGAGAGAGAGACAGAGGGAGGTGTGCGCCTTCCACGACGCGGCGTTGAAGGTTCCAGTTCGCATGGATGTGTTGTCGAGATGTTTCGCAATCTATTCTACCGCCAGGCAACATCGTGAGCCTAGATGCCAACAGCATCATACTGCTGCTATTACTCGGTACTTGATATTACCTGATACTCGATGCTACTACTGCACTTGCTACTCCGTAATCTGTGCATGCACGTGAGCAGTGAGTAGTGAGTAGTGCTCCAAGGTAGTGCCACCACAACCGTCACACCGCAACCATCATCATACCACGTTGTCGACGTGAGATGTGGTAACGAATCATACAAATCACAGGTCGTATTGTGATACCACAGGCCGAGCTGTCCCTCGTACGACAATTCATGTGCCCCGAAGGGGGGGGGGGGGGCGCGGCGCAAAGAGAGGGGAGGAGTCGCCCACCGACGGTGTACTACCGTCACGTAGTACCCAACGTTCCATGGTCGAGCCCAAAGGGGGTTGGGTTATGAGAAATACGGGGACTGGTGCGGATCTTCAAGAGCAGAGAAAACACGGGCAGGAGATCTGACGGCGTAGTTTTCTCGCTCTCTATCTGTACAGGTACGGTTCGGACAGGACCTCACGGATCATTGCATGTAGTGATATTATTTCGTTGTGTAGCTGAATGATGTAATACTATTAGTCCCCCCATCCCTCCCCAATGGAATCCTACCCATTCATTATTTTTAGCACCTTGGCAGCTGAAACAAGCCGGGGGGGGGGAGTAGAGAGGGAGAGAGAGTAGAGAGTACATACGCCCCGCGTCTCCTCCACCGAGAGTCCCGGTGACCAGAACAAAGTCGCACAGTCGCATCATCAACCTGTCCGACGTCGGTCCGGCAACCTGATCTCTTCTTTCCTCTTTCTTCGAGGTGTCACCCTACCCTCTACTCTTAGTGGGCGTCGCTCAGCAGGCAGCCAGGAGTAGGTGCCGTCGCGGTTACTTCGGTTGGTCGGTGTGTGGCTTTGTTGACGCTGGATCATCATCATGGATGCTGCATACAGGGTCCCCCCTCTGGTTTGTCCCAAGTCCTCGACACCCCCCCCCCCCTTCTTCACTTCCCGGGTCTCCGCCTTTCCCGTCCTCGCTTCACCTTTTTGTGTGTGTGTGGGTGGTTTATATCAGACAGTTCAAGTTGTTACCATATCAAAGTATGGCAAAATCAGAAGAATGAAAGAAAAAAGAAAAGAAGGGAAATCATATGATAGCACCAAGGACGAGGAGAGAGGGTCAGCTGATGCCATTTCCTTGCAGATTAACTAGGGATTCACACCAAGGCTTCACGCGGCAACGACCTGTTACAAGTCTCTTTTCTCTCTCTCTCTTATGTATTTATTCATTTACTATTATTATCGTTATTATTAGTAGTAGTAGTAGTAGTAGTAGCAGTAGCAGTAGTAGCAGCAGCAGCAGTAGTAGTAGTAGTAGTATCAGCAGTATTATTTTGTTTTCTCGTTTTCTCCTATTCCTTCCGAGCCCCTCAATTTATTGTTTTCCCCCGTAAATAATTTCTGGCAGCTCTCTTGTATCTCTTGTACGACTTGACCTCATATCATTACACCGTGACGCTATCTGCGAAGCGCCCATAGACAAGGCCCTTTTATCCGTACAAGAAGTACTCGTACATGCATCCCCCTGCCCCTTCCCTCGGACTTGTTGTCCAAAGTGGAACTTGTGCCTAGAGGGAGAAGACGACTGTGAGTGAAGAGCCCCTCTTGCCCGCACCATCGACAAGACACGTGCCGCATACGCTGTAGAGGCGGAAGCGGAGATGGATCAGAGAGGGCAGTGTTCGATATTACTCCATAGAGCCTTGCGTGTAGATCCTGGAGCTACGAACTACGGCATTGACGATGTTCGCCATTGCTCGTCTTGGAAGGAGGACTATGAGTGCATGTGGTACTGGTGCTGGTACTGGTGGTAGTGGTGGTAGCAGTAGTCTTATTTAAAACAGCGTGGATATCCGTCCAGGTCCGTGAGACAAGGCAACAACAGGTTTACTACATGCTACATGCTACCAACCAAGTAATCGCAGTCACGAGTACGGATACATGCACTTCTAGTCCATCCCGCCCATGGACAGGTAACGTTGGAAGTTTTAAACGTCCTTCAGACTGTTGTGATTTGTGACGTGTTACTCAACCGGGGGTCGGACTTCTTGACCTTGATGTTTTCCCTTCCAGCCCGACCCCCTCTCCTTCTCTCTTTCCCATGCCTCTTTTCCCCCTCCATTCACAGAGAGAGGTACTCCGTACATGTACAGATTACAGGTATCGTAATTATCCCCCCCCCCCCCGATTCATGAGTAATTTGGTAGATCTGCATCTTTATCTCCGGACCCAACCAAATTCCCATTTTCGGTCTCTCCCTCTCTCTCTCTTTTTTTTTTTTTTCGTTTTCTTTCTTTTTTTTTCTTGAAAAAATTTGTTTCAGGGACAAGGACGGGGCTGCTGTTAAAAACGGGTGTCATTTTTCTGACGCCTACCGATAGCCATATGTATATATATATATATATATATATATATATATATATATACATATATATAATACTGATTAGTAGCATGAATACCAACCTGTGGATGGGTGCTCAATCCTACGCAACTAGATACACCAGTCAAGCGCTTCGATTTCCAATTACGGATACGTCCATTGTACTCGCGGTGCCCCATCACAAGAAACCCTCACCCCGTCTTCCGTCTTCCTCCTCCACCAGCTCCTCCTCCCCGTCGTCTTCCCTCTCCCACCCCACCCCCTTATTTTATTTGTGTTGCACAAGGCACCAGGTTGCCACATGACGGGTAACGCAGCAGCTCCCGGTGCGACTACGTCAACAACGGCGTCTCATCCGCCCTTTGTCGTGCCCGTTGTCTCCTAAAGTCTCGCATAGACTTCACTCTGTACTGAGAGGGAGAAAGAGAGGCCCATCAAGACGCCCGTAGCATCACTAGGAACTAGTACAATCATGGATTGTTATCAAATTCTACATCGGCCTTGCTAGCCCCTCTCCTTCCGCGCGCTAGACAGAGACGGAGAGAGGGAGAGGGAGAGGGAGTAGAGAGGGGAAGACTTGACTATGACCACACTCCCGCCCCCTCCCCTTTTTTTCTTTCTTCTCTCCGCCCCCTCTTTCCTTCTCTTCAAATCGTGTTGTTTCGCCCACGATGGTTTTTCAGTGAGAAACATCTCTCTAGCTCGCCGATCCGCAAGCGCGTACGTGCAGGTGACCGGTCAAGGCTCGAGCCAAGAACACGTCTGTGCTCATCCTGTGCTTTGGGGAGACAGCATGGCATTAGCTCTTCCTTGTGTGTGCGGATATCGTGCCCCCATTCTCCTTTCCCCTTCTAGTGTCATCTTACTCGCCGGCACTCTTGTACTACCCGCCGAGGAGATAGAAGAAGAGAGAGGGTATGCATGTATGTGTACACTGATATATGTATAAGCATCATGACCACTAGCCAGGTATGTGGGTATCGAGCCATACAGACATGTACGGTATGTATGCATTACTAACATCACATGTACGTGCAGGTAGAGAGAATATTCAACCCCAAAAACACGATCCGCACATTTCGGTGTACAGGTACATATTTGGCATGCCCCCCCTCCCCCCCCCTCCCCGAAGATCCAACAGACAAGGACAGGCCATGCTCGGATATTGATTGTATTATGCCCTCCATGGCATGCGTGCGGCCTAGCCTATAATACGGTTCAAATGGTACTCGTACATGTAAACCAACCGCTTTAAGCCACCTGCTTCCATCCCATCAAGCACAGATGAAGCACGAGCCAACTTTCTGCTTCCTACTAGTCCTCCTCTTCAAGCGTGCAGGTCGAATTCGGAATACTCCCCTCCCGCGGCACCAGAACCAGCCGCCCGGTATCCTGACGTGCCCCCTCTTTCTGCCGGCGACGCTCATTTACCCGCCTCCCCCCCCCCTCCATTCGCACCGCATGGAAAGGTTGCGTATGCAATGCGACCCGGCTACCTGGAACAGAATGGCTTGCTTTTTTTGTTCTATTATTATGCTACGTTTACAGAGAGACTTCGATCAGACGTCGCTCGTCGGTTTCTGTACATGCATCCATGCGAGCACATACATACACAGCACATAAGCAGACCATCTTTCCTTTCCCCCTTTGAGAGAAAAGTCTTTCTTTTTATCCTGTCCTGATATGTCAAATAATTTGTATTTTCCACACCGGTTTCATATTTGTCGAAGAAGAGGATATCCCATCGTCATATATACACGTCCCCTGCACGCCTCCCATCATCATCAATGTTTAATGCCCCACCCCTCCCCCCCCCCCCCCCCCCCCCCCCCCCCCCCCCCGGCCGGCCCGCCGGCGGTGAGAGCCTCTTCTGTTTGGTGCCACAACACCTCGCCGGGGCTGTCAATATATTATCTTGTTTACACTCGATATTGTACAATCATAGTCCGCCTTCTTTTTTTCTTCTTCTTTTTCTGCCGCTCTTGCGTCAGCTCTTCTCGACGTCAAGCATAACTATTCATTGATCCTCATGCGTTCACACCATCTATTACCTTCGTGGGAAAGAATGTTCGCCCACTCCCCCCTTGCGCAGAGGCGCACAGACGAATGCGCAGCTGACTTTGACTTTTTTTTGGCTCGCCCACCGGCTAAACCAACCCAGCAAATGTTGTCACCGCGGAACGCTCCTCTCCCTGAAACTGCACGCGCGGGCGGGTGCAGAGCGGGTGGCCGTAACCCCCACGTGTCTCCCGTAGTAAGTTGGACTTGAATGTACGAGTGCTCCGAGTCAGTCGTATGCATCCTACGGCCGGGCCGTTTCTCCCGAAGAATGTCCAAACCACTACACAGTGAGACCCTACCGGATAAACTACATGAGCTGTGAGAAGGAGCTACGAGCACTACATGTAGGGATAAGGACATGCATCAAGAAACGAGACAGGAGAGGAAGCGCCGGCTAATACTAGGGGCACGAGCCGGGCAGCCGCCACCGCCACGTCCACGCCCGCGCCGCGCATGCAAGGCAGAAGGCATCGGGAATCCCACGGAGAAGGCGGGATTCTATGGAGTGCGTCTGACGTGCGTACCCGCCATTCATCTAGGCCCGGGCCGAGCTTAACGCCAAACCGGAGGGGTTGTTGGGGGGGGGCGGTGCAGCTTATAACATTTCCATGCCGGAATAAGTAATCATAAATCCATTCTCTGTTCCAATCTCGTCTCGTTTGCGAGTCATGGGACCCCCGTGATATCAGCGAGGCTCCAGTGTTTGATATGATCAACGCAGGGTGCATGGGTTGATGGCGGAAACAACCAGGCGGCGGAGCACATCTCCGTCGCAACCCGCAAAGGTGACTACATACGACATTGAGATGTACTATTCTTGAGTAGTGATGTTCCCGAGAGAGGAGAATGGCGCACATATGTCAGAAGCCACATATGCAAACCTCCCTGACGTACAGGGCCTCAGGATGTTGATCATTACTCGTGCGGGTAGACGCGGGAAAGAAGGATGCTTTCTGTCTAGTATCACTTACATATTGCTTGTGCCTTGTGCAAGTAGACAAAACGGTCAAGGGAAACGGTCAAGGGAAACGGTCAAGGGAAGAATGCATACGGTATATCTTTTATCGCATGGATATAATTCGTGTGAATGGGACAGGCAATAGAGAAAGCAGCAAAAAAAGAACTAGAGCTTGAAGCGGGATATTACTAGTATTCACGTCAAGGTACTAACGACTCGTCAATGCATACAGAAAGAAGAAGGCGCATTTGAGTATACTGCTACAGGCTTAAGCCAGTCTTATTGATATTCAGTCGGATTTGTTCCGTCATTGTTCGCTTCCATCTTGAGCACCGTTTTTAGGCAATTATCGTCATTCTTCATCCCCTATACTGTCCTTGTCCACTACACTCCAGTCATATATCCATCCAATTCTCCCGGTTGTGTGTTTCTGGTTGTTGCCTATCGGTACCGGGTAGGTGCATGTACATGTAGACCACTAGCATGTTGGCTTGCATAAAACCGACCTGTCTGGCGTTTGCCCGTGTCGTCTAAACATATACATACTAAGCCATGAACGTGCAAGGAAACTTGAACACTGCTTACATTGGATGTGAAAGTATATGTCCATCATTCTGAAGCATTATAAAGCAGTGGACTCTCATTTATCGTCTTCAGGGTACGCGCCAGCCTGGCAGAGGATGTCTTTTTTCCGTGGTTTGATCAATCCGCTTCACAGCGTAGCTGGTGGCTTCAATGTGAAGAAGAAGAAATCACATCATGTCCTTTCGTACTTTTGCAACCTTGGGACTTCTGGCACCGGGTGGCTTGTGGCTCACAGATGTCTGGTGTCTCTCCAGGCCATCTCGTCGGGCAAACTTGCGCTTCTTGGGAGGGTTGGGGCAGTACGGTTTCTCGCACCGCCAAGGCTTTATGTGCTTGTTGCAATGCTGCCTTCAGAGTAGTCAGTACTGTACAAACCTGAATCTGCTTGTTTCGAGATGTCCTCTCCGTTCTATCATATGATCGGCCAACGGGGCTTCCATGATGATCAAAATTCAGCAAAACAGGGGCGGTAGGATGGAAACATACAGATAAGCCGAGTTTCTGACAAAGGCAACAAGTCTACCGTTATCGTCCACTCCTCCCTTGGTACAGTTGTGCATTTTGGGACAGTAGTGCTGCCCTTTACCCCTGCTCTTGAGACTGTCGAGGTTGAGGCCCTGAAACAGGCCGTCGTCTTCGTCGTCACTACCGTCGGAACCCGAGTCGTCGTCAATAGTGCCACCATTCTCCACCCCATTCGCCGTGGGTGGGATACCGCACCACGTCCTGGGCTTGCTGTCGGTGTGTGTCATCATGGAGCTCTGGAAGGTATGCTGGATGGAGAGAGGCCTCATGTTGTAGAATGGAGACACAGCTGCATGCGACTCTAGCGAAGAATCATGGTCCGGCATTTCAGTGTACCATATGGCTTGGACGTCGCGCGAATACTGAGCAGTCAGATTCTGTATCTTTCTGCGGATTGGCGCGCGTCGTAGAAAAGATAGTAACACCCGTGTTAGTCGTGTGCTCATGAAATCACGTGGAATCGAGTACGCGCGTGAATGGATTCTCCAAAACAAGGGGGGTTGGGGTTGTGGGTTGGCGTTACCGAAGTTTCGTTAGGTCAACGTCAAGAGCTGCTATGCTCAACGTATCGGAGAATCGTGTGTCCTGCGCTGCCCTCAAGTGCGCATCGTGGACTGCCTGTTCGATGTGGTCGCCGGCGGCGAGGTTCTTCGTGAGCTTGGCCCACACAGAGGCTGTTCGCACCAGGTAGTCTCCCATGCCATTGAGAAGAGAGTTGGTGTCCTGGCCCTGGAGAGATACTGGTGACCCCGCTTCCGAGGACATGACCGTTTCCAGAGAGACCTGTAACTTCTGCCGGATCAAAGCGTCCAGGTTGTTGATATTGGAAGAGCAGGGAGGCTGGCTGTGAAGGCCAGTCTCAAAGATGTGCATTGGTGAGGGTATAGACATGTTGGTACTAGAAAAATGGAGGAAGAAAGCAAGGAAGAGGAGGAAGAGAGAAAAGAGAAGAGATAGAATAGAAACGCCTTGTCAAGGGGATGTTGGGGTATAGCAATAAAAACCCCAGATGCTTCGATCTCAGGGGCAGCAACGACTACAGATCACACCACTCCGACGATACCAGGCCGGCACAGCATGGGCTGCGAGGGCCTAGAAGCACTCCAGTCGCACAGTTTGCGGCGACTTATCAGCAGCCCTGGCCACCACCACGACCCAATGACCAACAGGCGCGACACTGCACCGCTGACACGCGACAAGGCTACAACCTCCAACTCCCCATCCAGTCCGTACAGGTAGATGCAGTGAGCGACTGACGTTGAAAAAAGGCCGAGTGGGTCCGGGAAGATGTGGAGGGCGGACGGACCACGTGAGATGGTAGCACGTCGGTAGAAGGTTTTGCTGGCGCAAAAGCCTAGGGTGAGGGCTAGCCACAAGTTGAGGGCGGAAGCGGGACGGCGCGGTGCGCGTGTGTGCGTTTGGTGCTAACCAGGTTTTTGTGGCTGAAAACGGATAGTGTAGCTCGTTAAGGGACGGGTGAGCTTAGTCGTACCCGTACGGCGTGAGGATGTGAAGACGCTCCTTTTTCTTCTCGTCTTTCTGCAATAACCCTGCATGCGTAGTTGATCCGGTAAATGTCGATGTGGCGCGGCAGGTAATAATATTAATCCGTCATGCAAATTGCCGTCGCTCCTGTGACTCTTTTTGTCTTCTGCCTGAGCGAGGTTCCTTTGCAGAAATGGCCTCGATTGTGGAGGTGGGGAGGGGAATGATTGGGAGAAGGGGCGGAGAGGGAGAAAGGATTGGTTGCCCAATATCGGAGGGAAATTCGGCTAAGTTAAAGCCCCCAAGGTGATAAACTCACTATCAAGTGTGTGATGAGCGGAAGGAAAGAATAAAAAGGAGAGAGGAGAGGCAGAGAGGAGCTCAAAAAGGCTCGAGACCGTACTCGTAACGAGGTAATGATGAAATCAAAAAAAAAAAAAAAAGGAGAGAAAAAAAAACAGAGGGCCAAAGTCTCTTTGTCTCTTATTTTCTTTTCCACAACAATGAAGGCGACACGCGAGGGTTCCCCTCCCGCCTTATTGGGGCATAATATCTATTCTTTGTCGACTTCTCTAGGTAAGGAAAGCAAGACACAGCGCCAGAAGAGCAGACTGGTCACAGCTCATCAGCGCTGCACCGAACTGGGGGGGAAGGGGGACAGCGGTCCAGAGCCGTATGATTGGGGCTCAAGGTGGGAAAGAGAAAACAAGCTCTGCGATGGTGGATGAGAAAAGAGACAACAAGGCAGGTTGCAGTCCGCAGAAGGAGACAACAGCAAATCGGCCCACTTCCTCAGTACTCTCTCTATGCGGGCAGTGTGCCTCTGCCTCTCTCAGGTAGCCATAATTAATACTTAGTCATGCGTCGCACTCTGCCATCTCCCACCGCCAGTAACTGCTCGTACGAGTACATCACCCATTTCGGGTTGACTGTTGACCCAAGGTGTTGAGTCCTGACTCGAGGTCTACGAGTGCAACGTACCCGTACAACGTGTACGACGTGCCCATACAACGTTCCCGTACGTCAGCCATCAACCAAGGTAGGAATGCGCCGTCGAAACAGATGATGATTGCATGCTGCTCTGTGCTTCAACGGCGGATAGGGCCTCCCGAGATGGGCACTGTCGGTACCCGTACCTGATGGATTGGTAGGAGTAGTGGTACTTATACATACTCATGGCAAGAATTATCGTATCAGTAAACCGTCCCCACGAGTGCGCACAGGTGTGAACTTGATACGAGTCGTGCGATGCGCTCGTTCTGTCAACACTAGACCGAGGAGTCGAAAATGAAAGGGGTTCCCAGTGTCGTTCGTGCTGCTTTATAATAACGATCTGTGTTGGATCTTGAGCTACTAGTATTATTACTAATAAGATCAGTACGTAATACCCGTACTACCGTGGATAGACCCTACCAAGATCGATCGATTATCCACATTGCTCGCGGCAACGCGTTCTAGCACCTGACCTTGAAGACGACCATAGGTGATGAGACTGCGTCGTCGTAGTAAGACTGGTCGTGATGACTCAGCATTGGTGATGGTGGGCCGACACAAACGCCGGTGGCTAATACCGAAGCAATGCCCTGTTTCCCTCATCACTACGAGCCCATGATACCCGTACTACGGACTAATACTGATACCGCATGAGAAGGTGATGAGAAATAGCCACCCACCACGATGTGCGTGGTATATGTATTAGTAGCGCTGTAGGTACGAGCATTACGTAGTACGGGTATGTCGTAGATCAATATCGCGCAGTACATATAATACTGGGCACAGGCTGCAAGCCCCACTACCACCTTGGGTAGTAACTGCTACGCGGGTACTAAGACGGCGTGAACAATGCGCCGCAATGGTAGGCCCGAGGGTGATTGGAGATAATAACACTGCTACTATGGATCTGAACGGACATGGGCAGGGCGGAAGGCATGGCGATTACTCGTAATGCTCCGTACTCGTAATGCTCTGGCAAGATGGAAAGGATGTGCGACCTACCTACAGCTCTCCGGGGCCTTCTGGGGCGCTCTGCCACTCTGGGCACGGGACTCGCTAATTCACCTCCGCCGATCAGAGGACTGAGGAGACGGAGTGTTGTGATTGGAGGTTGGCAAGCCACGCCAGCACGGCAAGTGGAGGCGGGAATTTGCCCACCATTTTAGCTTTGCGAAGGGGGGGTGTGGAGGCGGTGTATGCCTGTACTCGTATGGCGTATGATAAGATGACGGAGGGGCAGGGTATGTACATGCTAGAGTATCAACAGCCCAACAGAGTGCCGTTCCTACTATCCGTGACAGAAAGCATTCTGTCTGGTTAGTCCCGAGTAAGACTATGACGAACTGCTCATCCTTGTTTCGAAGACTTGTGTGCTTGTGTAGATTCGATGTTCGCTGCGGGAACCAAAGGATGACGATTCCCGTGACCACTCGTCCGCGACTACTTGTGTTACTAGCATTAGTTCCTTATGCACTGAGGGGAAGGGTCCAGCCATGGAAGAGTGCACGTGCGAGAGGGATGGGGCAAACGCGTGGAGGCTTCTTCCGAGATTGTGAACTGGCGGACTTTGGGATGCGCCATTCCAGGGAAGTGATGCGAAAGGAAAAAGCAATATACTCAATATTAATAATAAAGACAAACCCAGGTGTCTCAAAGGGGCCCGTGGGTTCTCGACTGTCTCGATCTAAGATAGCCCAAGCGGACTGGGCAAAGCGTCATAAAGCCGCCTGGCCAATATGACTGGTGGCGGCCCGGGTCTGAAACCAGTAGCCTGGTCCCCCTCCTACGACTCAATCCCCCCCCCCCCCCCCCCCCCCCCCCCCCCCCCCCCCCCATCACGGGGACAAAAAAAAAAGAAGACATCTGCTTGGTTGGCGCAACGTGCGGGGATCATAGCGGGACAAGCCAACCAAAGGAGCATTGACAAGGCACCGGAAAATGAGATATTGGGTGCCTCGACAAAGCAAGAAAAAAAAAGAAAGAGAGAGAGAGAGAAAGAAAAAGGCCAAGGTGCTGGCTAGACTGGGAACGAAAAAAAAGGCGCCAATAATCAACCCACGCCCAACTAGATTGCCTAGCTTAGAGAGGCCCCCCGGGTCGTGATCACGTCGTTGGAGAAAAAAAAAAAGATTGGGCAAGTGTAGTCAAACAGCTCTCTTTTCTTTTTCTCATGGCCGTTCTTCTATCTTTCTCTCCTTTTCCTCCCCCCCCCCTGTTCTCTATTGTATGTACAAGTTAGAATTAGAGAAAAGTCGTGTGCACTGATTGATGACTGACAGTCGACGCACAATGCTAAACTCATCTCCCACTGTTGTCTTCTTGTTTTGTCGTTTGAAGCCTTTCCCTCCCCTTTTCCCCCCGTCCCAGCCCAACCCCAACCTTTTGGCTTGCCCTACTCCGCACCAGCTGTTCCAGACATTCGGAAGTGCAGTCAGTGTTGCCTTTAGTAGTATGAGCCAAGACGGATAATACTGCTGCTACTCGTACGAAGTACGCACCCGCTACACCGCTACGCAAATACCCGTTTGAACCGCATCGTCGCACGACTAGTATTGCACTTTTGCCTTTTCTGCCTGTCCATCTATCCATTGTCGACACCCCAGGTGCCTGACCCCGAGACACAGCCCGCCTCGCGCTCGATTCTGTTCATTTTATTGTTCTATTTTCCTTTATTCCTATTTTTGTTTTGTTATCTTCTTTGCGTCTCCCCTCACTGCCGTATCCCATTTTCTCTTTTCTCCCCCTCAGTCGTCTTTATTACTCTTTCGCGTTTTATTTTATTTTTTATTTTTGGTTTTATGCCGCTGCATCTCTTTTTCCATACTCTGCAGTCGACCTATGCCTCACGCATAACCGTTCCAGGTACGACCGCTCCTCTTGTTTCCTCTGCCCTCATCTCTCCTTCCCTCCTCTCTTCCTCCTCTGGTGTCTCCGCCGAAGTTGCACGCAACCCTGCCCGCGCTGTACGCCCCAGCAACCGGCCCCTCTACCATTGCCATTTTCACCGTCGTCGTGCCCCATTATTCCCCGAATCGGTTGACTGCGACGATATCTGCATACCTTTTTTGCATTTGGAGTCTCTGCGACTTGGGCTCATCTCCATACCGTCATCGCAGTCGCTGAACCACCACCACCCCCTACCTACCAACCTACCTACCTACCTACCTA